CAAAAGAGGCTAAACTAGGCGAATTCTAGACCTGTCTGCAGATGTATCAACAAGACAAATACCTTACAAAAGATCTTGAATCACAAGTATGCTAACCGGTGCTTGAAACTAGTAATATCTCTTGACCTGATGGTAGGACTCAAGAGATTATTGTTTCAAAGGATCGGGCCGGTGGTAAATGCCTAATATGGCTTTACACACAATGAACAACTGCACATTCAAAAAAGCAGTTGAGACTTTGCAAACAGTACACTGATGTTAGAGCAGAACTTGGACATTGTGGCAGTCTATAATTCTATGTTAGTTTGCTTTTCAGACGTTGGATACAGTAAATAATACTATTTCACTATGTGAAATATCTAACAAACAAACTAAATTGGAAAAACAATGCATAATGTTTGTTTATGGGTATTGGTCTCCTAACAGAATTCGTATTCCATTTGGAGTATGCAAACGACATCGTTTTGTTCGATGAAGGTGATTACAAGACAGAGTTTTTCTCAAATGTTTGAGATGCATTCAGTTATCAACTTCAAAATATAAATTGTTCATTTAGGACTCGTCTACATTTATGTCTCATCTGACAGTAGATAATGAGTTGACTGAGGACAATGACTAGTTGGGAACTTTGCTGTATCTAATTTCCTTGCGCTTAATGAATAATGTGTATGGGTTGTAATGTTCAATGAACAACCTATCTATCAAGAATTTACAGTTGTACAAGGCCCAAACGGCTGAGCTTTCTTAACAGATATATGGTGAACAAGAATGGCCGATGGATACACAAACGTTATGAGTCGCAGTAGGTCATCAGTCTAAGCATATGGAAGTGTTGTCATTGCTCAGGTGACCAGGAATGCAGAAACTAGTTTCTGAGTGACACTGTTGCATTTCTAACAATTTTTCATGGCATGTGTGTTTTGGGGGAAACAATGTGAAAAATTACCTCGATATCTGATACCCAGTGGAGAGACAGATGATCTTTGGTTAGGTCTTAAAAAATATGAGTTAATTTTTATCCCCTAGATAGTGCGGTTGTATAAGTGCTGAGATATTTCATTTCTAGTGAGTATCATATTAGCTATCCTCAGTTATGATGGCGCATAACATTCTTTCATGGTCAAACACATTTTCACTTTGTCAAGTGCAGATATAAACGTAACATCCTGATCTGCTGATAAATCGATGCAATATCTATTGCTTTCGGTGCTGCTCTTCAAGTGTATACAGAGCACAATAACAACAAAGCATCAACCCTTAACACTTTGCACAGACTGAAACCACATTTCTCGAGGCTTCTCCTTCAACTACTAAGCAAAACGGAATAACAGCTGTTAAAATTAAACTAGGTTCTTTTTCACAAAAACTATTTTCTAAGGGCCTGTTTCCCTTCTGGCGTCTTTATCTTGAACATAGATAAAAATAAATAGGCTTCCCCCCCCCCTCCCCTTATCAAAATCAAAAATGTGATCATTATTTCTGCTTGTACAGGTGTGATTGCTATCACCACTACATTTTCATTTCATTTGATATATTGCTTCGATTTTCATATTTTATTGGAAACTTAAACATTTTATTATATAATTACTATGCGATAATAATTTGTTCTTCCTTTTCTACTCCTATACGAATGCACAATGTATTCAAACTCCTGGAATAACTGATTCCTTGGATTACACAAACTCTTGGATGATTTTTTTACTGTCATTTTCAGCTTTATTATTACCCTGTGTTGAACAATCTCTATGTATAATTGTAAGAGTTGAAGAGAAATCACAGAAAATGCTTATTTTCTTGGGTGTCTTTTCCAGTAATCACAATAAGAATAGTTAAATTACAAACTGAAGCCTCCAATCTGCATCAAATAGGCTATCATAGTAAATAAATGTGATTCTATTCCCACCAATCACAGTGAAGAAAACTAAGCTATTGATATGCATTTACCAACACGCAATTATCTAGGAGGGTTCTGGGAAAAGACAATATGGCTGAGGAAAGAAGAAGTGACTTCTGGTATATAGGAAACTCTGCTACAGTTGGAAGCAAATAATGAACTTCAACATGTAGGATGATAAAAAGAGATCTCAAATGTCAAGCATCTACTTTCCGTATGATTGAAAGCAACAAGATCTACTCGGAAGAACTACAAGTTACCAGTACGTGTTATATAAAGTGCACACAATGACTAACGGATTATGTTCGCCTTAGCATCAAAGTAATACTTCTTTAGTGAGGAATAAGTAACCGTCTAAAAAATCATTGGAGATTTTTAGGTTTCAATTTCAGTTGTGCTTTTGTACCATATGTCGTCGACTGGATCATGCAGCAAATCGTGAGTAGCGAGAAGAGGGACATACACTGGCTGTACCAATGAAAAGACCCAGAAGGAGATTTGGATTTCGCCACAGATGATGATTTATGTCTAATGTCTTGTCGCACAAACTCGAAGATCTACAGGCAAAAATCAACAAGTTGAGAGAAGAGTTGAGGCAGTGAAGACGGGACTTCTTTCAGGTGAACGTAGAGAAGACGGAGGTGATGAAGATACCCAACCACCACCACCACCAACAACAACAACAACGTCGACAACAACGACACCAAGAAGCACCAATCACCATGAATGGGAGAAGCCTAAAGGAAGCAGGCTCTCCCTCTCTCTCTCTCCCACCTACCTACCTACCACCTATCGAGACAGCATCGTTTCACAAACAGGCGGTGACGGCGGCGGCGACGACAAAGATGAGGATGTGAAAGCCAGGATGGGAAAAACAGAAAGACAGGCCTTCCTGCATTGATCTGAAATGATCAGTGTGGAGATCTACTGCACTGCACTCCACTCCACTCAGCATGAGGCGTGAACAACATCCGGATTTTCAACACTAATTCAGTCAAGTCAGTGTTTCTATCTGATGGTTGAGAGATTTGACGGCGTGTTGCGAAAAGCATTTCCAACAAACTACAGTACAAATACTAGTCTGCCAAACTACTGCTATCACAGGTAGTCAAATCATAAACTAATGACATTCATCAATAGCTGACGTCTACGCTCACTCAATACTGACTCTGAAGATCAGATGTCCAGAATAATGAGAATAAGCAAAAGGAACTCACTCCGACTGGCTGGCGACGAACCGATCAAGAAGGTGTCCCCCAAAAATATGCAGCAGAAGAAGAAAGTGGAGATGGATTGGGCGTGCACTAAGAAAACCATTCGGAGACTGGTGGCGCCAGGTTCAAAAGGCTGTAGAGAAGAGAGTGAAATGGGGACGTGCTGCTGAAGTCCTGTGTTCCACCAGGAACTTAAGGGACAAATAAAAATACTAGTAATTTGTACCATACGAAACGGCGTTGCGTTGCACAGGTGAGGCGTCGAAAGCATACCAAGCCTTCTCAAAGTTACGTCTATCATGTGTACAATATGGCTATTCTCGGATACACTTGTCTGAAGAGATCACATTTTCTGTCCAATCTACGTCGATGGACTGTTAGTCTCAAGAAGGCCAAAAGTGTTATGTATCGAGTAGGTGGGAGTCTGATGTTTGGACAATAAGAGGTACTGTTCAATTCAGTGTTTTTGAAAAGCAGTTGAGATCACATTTTAGCGAGACTGATCAAATTGTTCTCCAGATCTGCTGGCGATTATGATTATCATTGTAGACAAGAAAACCAAAGGTATAGCTTCGACTGCGATATCAGACGATGGATAGGAAAAGAGATGGAGAAAGTATTCAAAGTTGGTCGAAATGGGATTTTGTTTTCCTGAATGTGTGTGAAAATAACTGGTAATTGTAGGTAGGCAGTGATGTAGATTGTGGAGGCGAAAATAACTCAGTTAAATGAATCAACAATATTCATCAGTTCACAATCATCTGAGTGGAGCGAAAGGCTGGAAAATTGTGGCATAACGCATAAGTAGTTAACGAATGAACCGTTTGGAAAAGAAAACATACTTCAAGGGATGTTCATATCATCTCTTATGTTCACCGTGGTGTTGAGCAGATATCGAAGAGTATAATAAACAACGTCTACTGTGAAACGGCAACGAAATGTATTTGGTTTAAAATGTCGGCTGTTAGTGAAACATGAAATTATATGACTATTTTAAAATGAAGGACTACTGAGAGAAGAGTTGAAAACACAGTAGTCGAATGTGTAAAACACAACAGGTTGGATAAAATATATACCCCGAAGATTTTAGAGAAAATATTTCACAATACATTTGAAAATATATGATGACTAATTAGCTAACTGACTAGCATAAAATCATTACAAATCTTTATTGTTCAGTTAATAAATCAGATAAATGAAAATTATTAGAAAGAATTGACTAGATTGTACAATTGTTCGGTTACGCAATACACACCAAAGCTTGTGTGATAAAAGAATTTCCTGCTGAAGATATAAAAACATTTATTTACATTAAAAAAGAAAAGAGAATGAAAGGAACGACTGCAAGGTTAGCCATTGTCGACGTCGGAATTTCAGAGCATTCGGAAATAGTCGGATAAAACAAAAAGAAGCGTCTTTGTAATTTTTTTACCACCTACAAGCAGCAGTTATAAAATACATTAAACGTGAATGCTGATAAAATTCACATGGTCTATAAATGAACAGAAGGGGAAATCATTAGGTAATCAGAGAAATAAATGAAATATATTTGTGGAAAAATGAATTTCTGACGTTTCCCAACTTCATGGAATCACTTCTTCAGAGAATAAAACCTGTACAAGTTATGGACTGTTGGAAAATTTACTATTTAAACAGTCCATAACTTGTATATGTTCTATTCTCTGAAGCAGAGATTTCTACGAATTCCTGAAACGTCAGAAATTCAGTTTTCTACAAATATATTTCATTTATTTATCTGATTACTCAGTGATTTCTCTTTTTGTCTTTATGAATATTGTGAATTTTATAAGCTTTCATTCTAAATGTATTTTATAACTACTACTTGTAAGTAGTGAAAAGATTATAGAAACGCTTCTTTTTATTTTATTCATCTATTCTCGAAAGCTCTTACAGATGGAAGAATTCTGTCCATCGAGTCCAGTAGGAGATGATAAAGTCTTATTTGTTTCGAAGGGATGGGAAGAACGTTTGTTCAATTTTCGGTCGTTTTCTATGGTTTGAGGATTGGAGAAATAACTCATATCTTGCAAGATTAACTTGTTGACGTTGTTATCTCTAACAGGATTTGGGTAAAGCTGACTGTTCAGTGCCTCATTCAAGGCTGAAATGTAAAAGTTGTAAATATACTAAAACTATAGTTTAGCAGAGCAAAAGATCTTTTGCTATTTTTAGACAAACTAATATTGTTAATTTGCTAATTACATTCATTCAGCGTAAGTTTGTCATGCTACTGATAATAAATGTAAATAGTAGCTCTTCATAAACTGAATTTTTGAAATACGTTTGAATTTCTGTTGTATCATATTGCTTAAGGTAACTTGGTGTGTATCTACACAAGATACCCTTATTGAAGAGAATATATAACCGTCATTCCAAACCACATACTTTTCCAACGGCTGTTATTGTTAATATTCCGCATTCAAACAAATGAATCTTACAAGTAAGCAGTAGTTTCTTAGCTGGAAAGAAAAGTAATGATTCAGAGGTTTTATTTGACAGGATGAATACTGGCAAGTAAGATCTGCATTTTAGTGAGTTGGAAAAACATTCAGTATATTACGTTCAGTCACTGTGCACATGTTTACGTAACATGCTTATTATCTGATGGAATATGATAACATCTGAATGTCCAGAACTCAGCAGGCGTAATGTACCTGGGACGCGCCACTGGTTGGTTGGAAGCTGAGGTCGAAGCTGGCAATTCGCAACCTCATGAAACAGCTTTACTTGTTACATTCATCTTGGTGACTAGCAGTGGAATCCAGGAAGCGCTTTCCTTCATATTTTGGAATCGTCAGCTGGATCCGCCTGCACCCCACTGAGTGATAGTGTTCCCACTGAGACTCGAACCCCACACTGATCGCTTCAAACGCCAAAGCGTTATCCACTACGGCACGATAGCCGCCCTTGTGACGTTTTTGTTTTCATACTTGTCATTTCCTGTTCTTATGCAGGGTCGAAATGCTCGACCTCTGTTGGCAAACGGTCTTCTATCCAGATGCCTTAATACTGGCGGATATTCATGATGTTACTTGTTCTGAGTACTTAGCTTTTGCTTTTAGGAATAATGAAACAAAATACTAGCAGTGTATGCAATAAATACGGATTCTTTGTTCAAATGTAATAAACATTCGATATTGAAAAACTAACAAGACTGAAATTTACAAGTGATATCTGACACTTTGTACTTGAGGTAAATAAATACCAACATTTATGCTGAAAACCGCTAGATTGTATTGGTAATTATTTTTCATTGTCTTTAGTTAAAGACTGGTGATATAAATAAAAAACTAATTTTCTTCATAAAAAAACTGACAAATAAGGGATGAGTACTCTTTGATGTATTTAAAATATTCATATTGTTTAAAATTTATGTAAAATCAGTCATATTCAAAGCTGTGTTCGATAAGGAATTTCTCTTATGTAGCCATACTGAAGGACAATTTCAAGATTAAGGAGAAATATTTTAGTGTATTATTACGGTACTACATGCTGCCGCAGAACTACCAGTGAACACAAATCCTCTGACGAAAGTCAAAGTACTGAATGCCAGAAGGCTATTGAAATGCGGGAAAGCAGCAGGACCAGATGGAATCCCGCTAGAAGCATTGACAACAGAGGACATGCTCACACCACTACTGCAAAAAGGTTTGGAAGGGAGATCCGGATTTTTAACATTAATGTCAGTCAAGTCACTGCTTCTATATGATTCAGAGTCTTGGCGCATTACGAAAGGTATTTCCAACAAACTACAGATATTCATCAACAACTGCCTACGGTGCTGGTTACTAAAACTCAGTTGGCCATAAAGAATAAGCAACAAGGAACTCTGGTCCGGCAACGAACCAACAAAGCAAGGACCTATCACTCAACAAATATGAGGAAGGAAGTGGAGATGTATTGGGCATGCACTCAGAAGGCCATTCGGGGACATCACCCACCAGGCCAGTCACTTGAGTGGAACCCAGATGGTAAACGATGAGTTGGGTGTCGGTGCCGAGGGTGACATGGAGGAGATCGTGTGAGGAAGAAATGAGAGCTTGTGGGCTGTCGTGGAGACAGGTTTAAAACACTATATAGAAGAGAGTGGAATGAAGACGTGCTACTGAAGCCGTATGTTTCACTAGGAACCCGACGGGTAAATAATAATAATAATAATAATAACGGTCTCTGAACACTTTTTGTTGTGTATGAATGTCACTTTTAATGAACAGAAGGCGTAGTTACTGTTTACGGTAACTCCATGCTAAAAGTAATATATTCCTAATTGGCTACAACTGTGATCATGATACGAGATAATGGATGACAGCAGTGGGAGTTTCAATCCTAAAAGTGAATAAGGGTGTATCATATGACTGCCCTTTTCGTAGTATTCGAAGTGTTATTTTTACTCATAAAAAAACTAACTTCGGACAGTAGAGGCCCCAAGAAATGCTCTCCTAAAGGAAATATAACAACATCATGAAGATATAAAAGAAAGGAGTTAACTCTAACATGTTCACAGAAACATTCTTATCAGATTCAATATAAAATCATCCACTGATTATGCATAACTTTCTGGCAGTATAAGGAGTGTACAGTACGATCACTAACGATTTTGGATTCCGAACGACTTCTCACATCATCTGAGATCTGTCAGTTAAGTCATCTAGTGAACTTCGTTTGATTCAAATTCACATCATCTACGGCACCACTTCATGTACCAACCACACATAAGTCTTTTCAAACCAAATTCAGAATTAAAAACATGAGTGATGTGAAAATAACTAGGTCTAACTTTATGGAGTATATCCAAGCAATTAAAACTGGTGTTTCAAGACGGTCTCCATAAAAATCCAGTCTTCACCTTCGCACCTTCGAACTGCATACATTTTCTTGCTACTGAGTGTATGTTATACTGCAGAGATAGAGGTAACCGAATACGCAGATACCCTCATCTCAGAGGAAACATGTTTCGCATGCGCAAGGAAAACTTCTCACAGTCAAGCATTGTATATCCCACCTTTTACAGCCAAACTGACATCGCTAGGTTCCAAAAGTTATTTGCATTGCTGTCTGGCTCTCTTGCTTTCTGTGTGCGGTTAAAGATTCCCTCAATTACACTTCTATCAACATTTATGCAACAGTCCAGACATTAAAACTTTCTGATTATTTCACACGGTTTACCACTGAGTGTGAATGCAGGCACAAGAATACTACTTATCTATAACCGAAATAGTTAATGCATGTTGGATATGAATGTCATTTGATTCAAGGTCCTGGGCGTTCGGTGAAAACTGTGCAAAAAACCAGACATAATGTGTCTAGTGACACTTAAATATTGTGCCATTAACATTATGCAGTGCGTTCATGAAAACTATACTGCTACACCATACACAGCTGAGAGAAAACACTGTCAACGGAAACTACTAGTCATGTACGAAACAGATTATTTTCCTAATGTTTCCTCGAATAAATAGTCATGTTATAACAATAATATAAGTGTAAAACTTGGGCACTGTAGTAGAATGTAATTCCATATTAGATTTGTTTATTTAATATATAGCGCACAGTGATACAGTATTATTTACTTGATTACGTTTCGAGCACAAATTATTGCTCACAATTATATCAATATTATCATACTTCTTTCGATATCTGATTTTATAGTCCTGTCACCTGATCTCTCTTTGTTTTTTGGTTGGTAGTAAAGTTTTCCATATCTCTGGTATAGGTGTTACGTCATCCTACTACATGTGTTGGGTGTGGATTCGATGAAGAAAGATTCAGTAATTAATCTCTCTCTCCACCTAACTATATTAGACTTAAGTACAGTGGTTTTGTCCCACCCTATTGTGATTGTGTGGTTGTGTGTTAATGTATGTAATGCAATGGCTGAGTGTTTTTCTAGATTATTGATCTTATTGAGGTTTGTCGTTCTATGTTTAGCTAAATTCCTATGTTCTGCTAATCTATATATACTGACAAAAGCGAAAGGGCAATAGAACATGTCAGCAAACTATGTCTGAAAGAAGAAATTCACAGGATTATTAAGAAATTAAGTACCATTCGGAATAAAATTGAACAACTTAAATGTAAAATTATGAAGATAGTAAACTGCAGAGACTATGGATTTATAATAGAAACATCAGACAAAGCAAGATTAGCTACTCTCAAGAAATCTAGAAGAAATCAAATCAAAAAGTTCAATAAACTAATGCAAGAAAAATATGCTTCGGAAAACAATGAAATTACAAAGGAAACATCATCGAACATCGATAGAACAAAGTGGGTAGTCAATCTCTCCTCGAAAGCCTTAAGCTCAGCTGAGATGAAAGTACTTGAAAAAGGACTAAACTTCAACATAACAGTAGATCATCTAAAACCAGAAGATGTCATACCTAGCATAGAAGTAGCATTAAGCTCGGTGGATGTGACAACTGCTGAACAGGTTAGAGCGCAGTGTGCATTAGCACTTAAAAAACAAAAGAAGACACAGCGAAACTTAACGAAACTGGAAAATTCAGCTTTAAACAATCTACGAAAGGATAATAGTATAGTAATTGCTAAATCTGACAAAGGTAACTCAACAGTAGTTATGGACAAATCGGATTATCTTAAAAAAATGGATGAACATATCCAAACAGGGCCATATGAAGAGATTAAGAAACCTATAGATACTGTCATGAATAAAATTAAGAAATCTACAACAGATCTGATACGCCGACTGAAGCCATCTCTAGGTAAGTCCGAATGGTTTACTTTAATGCCAAAAACTAATAATCCTAGCAGAATTTACGGTACTATTAAGGTTCATAAAGCAGGTTATCCCATTAGGCCGATAGTTGACTTCCGGAACACACCAACATATGAGATATCAAAGTATTTAGCATCAGTATTACGTCCTGTTAGAGACCGTTCCAACTCTAGACTAGTAAATTCTTACGAGTTGAAACAAAAACTTAATGACCTGCACATAGAAGAGGATGAAAAAATGGTTAGTTTTGACGTAACAAGTCTTTATACTAAAATACCAATCAATATGGCACTGGAGGCAGTCAGAAATCAACTAGATACTGACTCACAACTTACTCAAAGAACCAAGGCATCGGTTGGTGAAATCATGTTAGGAGTGCAGTTATGCTTAACCTCGACAGTCTTCAAGTTTCAGGGAAAGATATAGACAAACAGAAGGAGTAGCAATGGGATCACCAATATCCCCTATAGTAGCAGATATATTTATGGATAGTTGGGAAGATATGGCTTTACGAACATATAATCCGACACCTAAGATATGGTGGCGATATGTAGATGACACATTTACAGTGTTGAAATCGGAACATATCGACAGTTTCTTGACACACATAAACTCAGTAGTTAACGCAATCCAATTCACTACGAAGTAGAAAATGAACAAGGAGAATTACCTATGTTGGATTGCAGAATAAAACGAAGGATAGATGGTGGTTTAGATACTACCGTCTACAGAAAACCAACACATTCTAACAGGTATCTAGACTTCAAGTCATCTCATCCAGTGTCAGTTAAAGCGGGTTTAGTCAAATGTCTAAATAACAGAGCTGAGAAACTCACTAGTCATTGTAAGGACTTAAATAAGGAATTGAAACACATAAAAGAAGCGTTAATAATTAATAATTATCCCCATCATTTTATTAAGAAATTCACACGGACACATAAGAAGCAAAATAATAACACTAATACAAATACAAATAATAGTGACAACATAAGTAGAAAGGAAATCACACCTCTATTGTGATACCATACAAGGAAGGAACATCAGAAACCATACGTAGGATTCTCAACAAGGTTGGAATTAGGGTGGCATTTAAACCAACAAACTCACTTAGAGGTAAGCTTTGTCGGCTAAAAGATCCGATAGAACCAATTAAGCAAAATAATATAATCTACCAAATTCCATGTAATGACTGTGAAGTCAAATACATAGGTCAAACTAGCCGGTCGGGGTCAGTTAGATTAACAGAACATAGGAATTTAGCTAAACATAGAACGACAGACCCCAATAAGATCAATAACCTAGAAAAACACTCAGCCATTGCATTACATTCATTAACACACAACCACACAATAGGATGGGACAAAACCACTGTACTTAAGTCTAATATAGCTAGGTGGAGAGAGAGATTAATTACTGAATCTTTGTTCATCGAATCCACACCCAACACATGTAATAGGAATGACGCAACACCTATACCAGAGATATGGAAAACTTTACTACCAATCAAAAAACAAAGAGAGATCAGGTGACAGGACTATAAAATCAGATGTCGAAAGAAGTGTGATTACATTGATATGATTATGAGCAATAATTTATGCTCGAAACGTAATCAAGTAAATAATACTGTATCACTGTGCGCTTTATATCAAATAAACAAATCTAATATGGAATGTCATAATAAATTTTAGGATCACTCAGTTAATCAATCAATAAAACTATGTTAACTACAAAGTAAATAAGAGTTAGTAACAAGAAATCCTGGACGTGTGATTACCACTCATCGTCATGATGAGTCATACATAAGAGGTGTTTATTCAATAAGGTCGCTGTTATTTACCAAAAAAGAGATCAGTTACTAAGTTATACAAACACAGTTTAATTGGTTGCATCAAACAAATGATTATATAACTAATATATGTATATACATAATGTCTGGTCGTGATACTTATCGACTGATAACTTTAAATCATATGACTGAAGAAATTATTAAGTTTCCATTCACTGGAGTTATGTAATGACCTCTAAAATATAGAGTAAACTAATTCTCATACTTTAAAATAGAGTCGTCAGACTAAATCTACAAAACTGAATATTTAAGTAGTTTAATACATTGGTTTGGAAGTGCTGAAACAGAACCAAGAACTACTAGGTAAATCTCTTCCCATCTTCATTACTTCTTACCATTGCAAACCGACTATCCTGTAGTCTCGTTAACACACAAATTGAGGTTCTTGGTGTTGTTACATTCTCTCACAAATTCAAAGGCTTTCAGTGTTATCCTGAACAGGAAAATCATTGAAGCCTTATCACCGGAATTATTTTGAAAAGTTACACAGGTGATATCATTCTTAAAAGATTCAAATTCTCTTCATTACTATGGACAGAGTGGTTTATTATCTTAAGAGCTCACTCTTAGAGTGATGGTAACTCTGTTGGCATTGGACAGTTCAATAGCGGTGTGTTTCGTATGAAGTATGATAACTTTAAGTTAGGTTCTACTCTTTATGTTCGATTTTGCTATTTAAATTGATCAAAGGATATAAATATTTTGTAAGCAGATGACGAGAAACCTCAAAATATAATGGACTGTTTGAACTGTACTAAAATTATTGATCTCACTCAATGAGACGGTAGAATTGTGTAAAGTCATTAACAATAACTGTGATGTAAACTACCTTACTACTTTTCAGAAATCTGTGGCAAAATATGCCGAAATTATCTTTCAAAGTTTATGTTCAATCCGCTAAAGGAATTCCACGTACGCACTTCTGAAAAATTTAAAACAGAATGACAAGTTTGTCTAATATTCACTTTGAGATCGTTACTTCAGATTGTGGTGACAAATATCATCCGATTTAAGTTAACGAAGTGAATAAATGTCGGGAAGAATCTTTGATCCATCTCACTGCACTAAGTATGAACTCCTGAGGAAGAAAGCCAGGCTTAATTATGCGCCAAAATTAAAGTCCGACTATAAATTTCAATTAATTTCTCGTTGATGAAACATTGTAACGCTTTAGTATCCTGTAACAGTTCAAAAAGTGCTATAACCAATTTATACGTCAAGTTTTACATTTTCATCTACAGATAGTTTTTTTAAATGAGTTTACCAAACTAAATTCATGTCTTTTATTGAATACATCTTTAGAAACATATCTGACATAAATTTTTATGCCGCATTTCTTTCTTTCCAGAGACAGTTCAGTAAACATGCTGTAAAAAAGTAAATCCTTTTGATTACTACATTGCAGTGATGGAAACGTTTATTATTCGCTGAAGTTAAATGTTTAATTCTTACAAAATAGCCATAGATTATAATAAAAATAATCTATTAAATTTTGAGGGAGTTGTTGAGATTTGGAAATATTTCAGGTTCTTATTCATCGAAGACTGACATCAGTTGGATGAACAAAGGAAACCTGGGAGCACTGGACAGTTGTCTCGTCCTATTATCGGACTCCCCAGCAGTGCGCACCCACAACCCCACACCAGCAGGGATCGAACCCGCAACCTTCAGGTTCCGCGGCCAGCGCGTTACCATTGAGCCACTGGGTCAGAATGCAATGCTTCATATTTCCAACTTCTGTTAGCTCACGATATAGCGCAACCGCCACCCAATGTCATCGTTCAGTATCTATCCTCACGGCCATCAGGCTTTGACTCCACCGGTCACGACTTGTCACTGGAACTTCGGGAATACTTCTCGAAGCTAGTCACCAATGAGCACCAGTTCAATTAAATTTTGAGGGAGTTGAACTATGTTACTATGATACTTTCAGCGGCCTTATCATAAATATGCAATCATTGTTAGGTACTTTTAAATTAAAGTCGTACATACAGCTCAAAATTTGCCTACATTGCTCTCTCTCCCTTCTACTAACTACTCTTAGTCAGATATATTGGTGAGATTAGCTTAGTTCTGAGGAACTATCTTGTAAGTGCTAGTTTACCAGAATTATAGTGAAATATAATATTAACCAGAATGTTGATGAGAGTAAAAGTGACCATTTTTGTGATACTTTTTATTTTCACTTGCTATACGGGACCGAATGGATCGACCTCTTTTAGTAGATGGGCTCCTATGCAGATGCCTTGATACTGCTGGTGCAGGTACACCTAACTGTTAAGTCCCAAACAGGACGGAATGTGCGTTCTAGATTCCTTTGCTAGTCTTGGCAATAATATTTTGTAGTCATTTGTATCTAGTTACTAATAGAATAGTGCTGGGTCTTTAACCAATAATCACTCAATTGAAGTTGTTATTGGATAATGTAATTGTTAGATATGAGTAACTCATAGTTATCTGAATCTTCGTTATAATCTGAGTGTCTTTCAGTTTCTTTAGATATTAGTATGCAAATGTTATAAACTAAATTCCGTGATAAATGAGTTCTTTTTATTCATATTCACTGGTGATGTTCACCTTTTCCATGTGATTTAGGCTACAAAGAAAAATACAATTTTTAGTGTTTCTTTTATATATCAGACTTGAATCTAAAATATGAATTACCTTCTCAGCGTTACTTGTCGATACGCTGTTGTCCCTTCAAATCCTGACCACAGACATTTGGTCGCCTCTGATATCCGCAAAATGCAGATAGTAAAAACTGACAGTAGTCACAATTGTATACATATTTGTATGATAGTGGTTAGAGGTGAAATACACAGCATGAGTATCATTTTATTTGCGGCTTATCAGTTAGTACAACTGGATTTCAGTAAGTTATAGTGTTCTCATTGAAATTTCAACATATAACCCATCACTTTAAACACTAGGCTGCCAATACAAGCAAGTCATTTCAGTTATGTTTAGCGAAAAGCGGACAGTTTTAACTGTCTAAATATGAATATCTTCACTATAAAACAATATTTAAACAGCAAGAGAAATTTACCTTTAATGCATTTTTCCAGAGCGGGTCTATCCTTATGTTGTGCACTTGTATGTCTTTCAATGTTTTTCAGTTCAGTGAACAAATATCTTGGTATCTATGTAGGATAAAATGAATTTATGCAGAAAGTATGTCAACTAGTCATCGAAATCTATTAACTTAAAGAAATACTATGATTCATTACAGAAAAAACGCCGAAGTCAGTAACATTTTAGGGATTATGCAAATCACTAATCACATTCATGTTCGTGCAATAAATCACACCTATTTTGTGAGAGGTAATGATAGCACCTGAATGCAGTGACCTAAATAAGTGGAGCAGGATTCGAACTTGTGGCTCAGAAGTTGAGAGTAAAGCGGTTTAGACCAAATGAGCCACTGCCCCACAAAGACTGACACATAAAGTTATGAACTCTACTTATTTTGTTCGGTTAATTGATCCTGTTTGGTAGTAAGAACCTTTGCTGATAAAGTGAACTTAAGATACATGACTTATGAGCTGGTGGTTATTTGTGCCTAAAGTAAGAAGGTACAGGAGTGCAACAAAAAATAAAAAACACCTTAATTTTTAACAACTTACCTCTAGTGGTAAGGTGAGAAATAATGATAGGATAGGGACACCGGGTTCCATAGCTTGATTCTAAAAGCAACAACAGTACATAAAATTTAAAGTATAACGATAACAGTAGGGAGAAACAGTAAGATTATTCGAATAATACAATTCTGGTGAAAAGCAGTTTCATGCTAACCAACCTGTTAGTTAGAGTAAAATATGATACCGATTTAGCTGATAGATTAAAGATGATGGTGATTAGTTAAACAATAATTACAAAATTACTTTCATGCAGTATATATTCATCTTTATGATATTTTTTAAAAAGAAACGATGACATTGGGTGGCGGTTGCACTATATCGTGAGCTAACAGAAGTTGGAAATATGAAGCATTGGATTCTGACCCAGTGGCTCAATGGTAACGCGCTGGCTGCGGAACCTGAAGGTCGCGGGTTCGACCCCTGCTGGTGTGGGGTTGTGGGTGCGCACTGCTGGGGAGTCCGATAATAGGACGAAACAAATGTCCAGTGCTCCCAGGTTTCCTTTGTTCCTCCAACTGATGTCAGTCTACGATGAGTAACAACTTGAAAAAGAAAGGCAGTTGATTTTGGTCATAAACACTAATGACGTCATAGAAAGACTTGGAGAACTTAGCATGAAGACTCAGAGGTGAAGACATGAGTGAGTAATTCGACTTTTACGTTGATGATCAAACTAAGAGCTTTATCATGGATTTCATGTTTAATAATTTAGAAATCTTTAAAAAAATTTGCTCATTGCCTATAGGTATGAGGTACGGGTTCGCAGAAGGAATATTCTTGATCTGTAAGTGGGAAGCAATCCTAAGGCATTCATGACGTGTGCTGTATGTAATACCTGGTTACAGAAAGCGGAGAAACAATATAAAACTTTACACAGTTGTATCTATCCAGGTGACAATATTTTACGTCAGGAGGATGAAAGGAAAACAACGACGGGAAGACCAGAATTCTGAAATTCGCTATAAGAATACAAATAATGAACTCAGTAGAAAAGAGCTCAAGGAACAAGACCAGAGAGTAAACAAGTGAAGCAGAACAATGAGAAAAGTGACCGAATCTTGACCAACGTGGCTGATCTTCAAATATAAAACCTTAGCTTAGCAAAATCGATATCAGTTTTTTCTAACCAGGAACAATGAAATAGACTTAAGCATGTAACACGAATTCGATAAAAAAGGTCTGAAACTTCAAAAGTAAATCTCAACTTTTGATCTGACTGCTTGGAGGTTTCTGTGTTTTGATTACCATCAAAGATGTGAATGTATACTGGAGTAAGCAATGACTAGACTGGCTTAACGCATGTACAAACCACATAATCCAGTACTCGAGATATAACACAGAGACAGAAGTCATGACAAATGCATAGATGAAAAGATTGAATTAAGGAATGTGATAATATCAATGGAGGCTATCTGGTTCAGTACAGTTACGTCTGTCAAATATATAGTTGCTTAAAAATGCAAGAAACAATGATATTTATCAGGCGCAAAATCTTCACTTTACACAGACTAAACAGTTAATAACTTTGCAAAGTAAAAACATATAGAAACAGAAATTTAGGCAAATCTTAATTGTTTAATTATGACGGCCTGTTTAAACTTTGAGCTACTAAAATTTTCCATGGAATATAGTTAATCGAATTCTTCCCTTTCAATATTTTAATCTTTTAAATGTCTTCTAAATGTATCATATACTCTTGAATATTTTTGAACAAAGGAAAGACGTTACACCGGATGGAAATTGACTTATATATGCACAAAAGTACAGCACATAATATGCTCGGTTTTCTATTCATCCCCCAGTTTAGAAAAGACGTCAGTGCAACACCTTGTTATTACTAAAACTACGCAGATGCAATAATTATTTCGTTTAAAGATATTGTACATGGAGTGAATCTCTTGAATTATCATATGTTAAGAATACTATACTGTATCACACATGTTGTCGTGAATAAAGCGATTATTATTATTGTTTATTAAAATATGGTATAAGGTAGTTAAAACTGACCTTAAGAAATAATCTGAGCTCTGGATGTCTTTTTCTGAGTTCGTAAACATATTTTAAACGATCTGGATAAACATTTGTATAGTCCATACACTGATTTAACAAATCGTTAAGAGATAATAGGACAATTGTTCCAGGACTATCTAAATGACCATGTATAGGTGAATGCAGACTAGGTAACGAATCGTGGATTTGTTTTTGTTGTTCCTCTAGCTGATAACGTTCAGCACCGACACTACTGCTGAAATTGTCTGATAATCCAGTTGTTTTAATGTTATCAATCGGTTGATTCTCTCGCCTAATGATACTTTTACGTAGTTTAAACAAAAATGAGAATCGTTTATGTATACCACTGTGGTTGGTGTTGTTATTAGTACTAATATTACTGTTCCTAATATTTTCATTACATTTCTCTTTTCCGTCTGATAAGTTGTTAAATATTCCTTTGGACGAATCATTCCGCATAGCCACTTGTGGAGATGTTGTTGAAGATACTGAACTCCTTTGTTTATTTTTGTCGTTTACTAAACACTGTTTGGCAAGGGAATTTGATGAAGCTGTTGAAGCATCATATGGTAAGCATCCATTTTGTAAATTTTGTTTCATTTTAAAAGTCTGATAGGCAATCTAAAAGTATAAGTATAACAAAACAAAACAGACGTTGTGTGTATCACTGTTTGTGCAGAATAAATGAAAAGCTGATGTTTTAACTCAGGTGAGTGGTTTGTGATAATTTAACCCATTTCAATGTGATTTCCATAGCGGATGCATAAATACTCAATCAGGAGTCGTAGAAGTCTTGGGCCTGATCACAAATATTGCCTTATGTATACACTATTAAGGTGGATTAAATCAGGATATGATCGCCCAATATTTCCTAGTTCTTATTGGTTTCTTAGCAGATATTAATCTGTGATGAATAGTAACTTGTGATCTACAGTTTACATGAAGGACTCTGGTAACAAGAAATATCTGGTTTGAATACAACTTACTCCACATGCTGTTGAAACGTATAACTGCTCAAAGTATGCATTTCAGGGGGAACATATTTGAGGAATATTCAAAAAAATAAAACGTGGTAGCAACTGAGGGTTGATAGACTTGATCGTAGCTCACATTTGAGGTGATTTAGCTGGCTGTGCTAAGCAATCCACTTCCAGTGGTTTGGAGTCAGGTGTCTAGTTCACCCGGTCAAAAAGAGATACAAGAATAAACGAGCATGAACTGTACGGGATCTGGTGTAATTAACTATCCAAACAAACTGTTACACTTCACATCAATATAGAGAAGAAACATCAACAATGAAAGTACAGTGATGAAAATAATTGTAGAAGAAAAGATGCAAACATATATAGTAATAAGTTCTTAGTGATCTCCATGAAAACCATCGATGCACTGGTGCACTTGTATTACTACAATCGGTTCTACATCACTTGCTAAATTCCTGAACTATTAATTTTTATTGTTTCGCACACGAACTAGAAAGAAAGTCAAACCCTCCATACTAAACTAATATTGACAGTAAAGGACGTCTTGGATACATACTTGACATTTTAGACTTAATTCTACTCTTCACACGGAGGGCGGGATACCAGAGGAAGTGAATCACGAAGACTTATTTCAAAAGATGTATCAACTTTGAGATCTATACACTACTATGTTAGTACATTGTGCTTATTGATTCATAAGTTTCATAATGCTATTTGTTATCAAGTCACATATAATGTCTTAAACTGAAGTTGAACAAAATTCCTTGGTCCTAGTTAAAAGTACATAAGTTACCTGATAATTATGTGCATAGATTTTTGCACCAGCAGGCCATTCGATAATGAGTAATCGCTGAAACCGTACTGGATATGGAGAGGTTGGATCTTGTAAATCAAGTCAAGTATCTAGACCTCTTGAGCTCAAATCTACCATTAAGCTCTCAACCTCACAAGTTGAAGGCATCATCACAGGAATGCTAGTGAGCTCCACATTTTTATTTCCACTGTCTATATATGATTGATAATGAAAAAGACTATCTCAAACTTCTGAAGTAAGTCTTCGACGTCTTTATGTCAGTCTTCTGTAATTCTGACGCCATGATTTGAAAATACGGTTTGAGATCACGTTGGAAACGGAAGCATCATTTATAAGATGACCAGCACTGCAGTCGTGAAGAGCAGTATACATGGACGACCACAAATCAGTTGATAAAGTCACTGTTTGTTGGTCTAAGCTGGGTTTGGAAGTTGAGACTTCTTATTTAGGGTCAGCGAGATGTTGTCAATCAGGAGCTGATGATTCTTAATGCCAAATAAGTGATTTAAGGAGATGACCTTCAGCTAGTGGGTTGTGGGTTCAAACACCTCCCTACCGACGGAGGTTTTGGGCAATCTCACACAATAGGTATAGCTCACTGCCTACTGAACAAGATTGCTGAGTGGATTTCGATTCAATTGTCAGATGAAAGTCAGTGGCAGTATTTAAAATCATGAGAATAAATCATCATTGCTATTTGTCCTATTTTCGTTTTTGTCTTTCTTATCTTTATCCCTAATTCTTTCACCTGTTTTTCTGCTGTGTTGTGAAGTGTAGCACAGCGCATCAGCAAAGTCTTAGATTTCTTTGCGCTTGAGCACAGTCGTAAATTGTTTGGGGGTCTGCAGCAAGAATCCTAAGATTTAACTTTCTCACTCATTCAAAATTGATCATCAAAGCTCAATGGTAACATCAGTAAAGTGTACACCCCCTAAAATTTAAAAATGTAATTGTGGACGATATTACTGAGATAGATTTAGATATTTATATGTAAGCTATAAGATATCACAGTGATGAATCAGAAACAGAGGGTCAAAAGGTTGAGATAGTTAGTATGGATTTTGAACAGCTGCCAAGGTCATTTGTCGGGCATTCATATATGACTAAACAAGAACGTCCACCAGTGTCTGATACTTATAGAGTCATTCAATGCTACTTTGATATTCGTCGTCATTGGGTGTAATACCTTTACAAATATTGAGCCCCAGTGTGGTAGTCATCCGTGGGTTTCTATGAGGTAACCACTTGAAGTCACAGAAGTGTGTGCGTGTTTAAAACTTCGCTTTTATATATTGTTTTATTTAGTTTGGAGGGGAAAACACCACAATCATGCATACTGCCTCGAATTTTGATCACATTGATCCTTTGTTCTATAAGCAACTTAACAATCTTAAGAATGTGACGTGCATGGTAAGTTTTACCGATGAAACTATCGTCCGAAAATGAAGCCGATTGCCAATGGAATACTGATCTGTCAGTGTGTCTAGATATCAAGCTTTGCACCTGAAGATTAGTAGTCAATGATATCCTGTTGGTATTTACCCATACACACCACCCATAGGATTCATACGATATTCATTTAGAAATCAAAAGTCAGATGCATAATACAGAGCAATATTGTACAACACTCCTCTTTTTTTCAAAAAGTCAGTAGGAATAGAAGGCATAAAATATCGATTCTTACTTAGTTATTTTCACCCTCGCACAATTAATACATCAGATGAGACATAAGTTCAAGAGAAGAAAAGTTTGGTCACTCAAAAAAGCGATTGTTTCTTATTGATCGAGACAGCTATTTCTCAAAAATGGTTAGTGCACGTAGTTAAGATTGAAGGCAGTGAGTGGACAAAAACAGGGAAGGTAAACTAAGTCGTAAATTGTAATCGTCTAGTGAAATTTGGACCAGACAGGTCAAATAGCCACTAAACTGATAAAATATTTTCCCTTTTGATACTTGGTGATGATTGAAGGTGAAATGAAAATTTGGATTGCGGTCAGATTCGAACCAGCGATACCTGGGTTTCTGGGCCGATACTGGTCACTAGTCGAACCTCGTAGCTCGGTTGGTAGAGCATCAGGTCGGAAACCTAGTGGTTGCTAGTTAGAATTCAGCTGCGGTCCAAATTTTCATTTCACTTTCAATCATCACTCAACATCAATACCAGCCAGCCAAACCATGGTTATCTCAGATAGTCGAAGTGGTAATCTTCTGTTTTATACTTTGTGATCCTGAGAAAATTTGTGACCTGAGTAGCTTAGTGGTTAATTTATTGATTACAAGTGAGCTTTGTTAATGTGACATGGAAAGCGTGAAACCTAGATCCAGGGTTTCAAAACGAATGACTGCTAACATAGGACACCAAAATGCTTTACTATACGGTGTTAATTTACTAGACGAAGCTATTAAACTTCCAAGTTGATCGATAGACTTCAGTAGACACCAAGCATCTGACAGGTACAGTGTCTCCTACCAGTAATTCAGTTAGGAAGTTTATGAGGATGTATTGAACTCAGGTTGGTATAATCATGGACTGACTACCGTTGGCGAACTGCGGAGCACTGGGCAGCTGTTTTGTTCTGGCATAGGACTCCTCAGTAGTCAGACATGAAGACAGGTATTCAGCAACAGAATGGGATGAAGGCCATACTCTATCAGGAATTGACGGAACTAGAATAATATGTACAGCTACATCCCGACATAGTGGCTCAATGGTACCATACTCATCACTGGATCTGAAGGCGCTGGGTTCGACCCTTGCTGAGAAGTCCCATGCTAGGATGAAACAGCTGTTTAGTACTCCCAGATTTTCAATAATTCTCTGACTAATGTCGGTCTGTGATGAAAACCCTATTAGGACGAGATTCGCTCCAGAATATGTAAGCATAAAAACAAATAAATATAATTTAGTGGTTACATTTAGGTTCTTGTAAGGTTTCTGAAGGCTAATGATATTACATATCTACCTAACCCTCAGTATGTGAGGCATAGTTCAAAACCATAACACATAAATTGAAATTTGAACGTCTTCATTAATGAACAACAACTTCATTGAAGAAAATAGGGGTTTTCGTACACAAAAAACAAAGCATAGTGTACGAAATATAAAGAATATTGTAACTAACCTCAACAATATTATGAAACAATGCATTCAAGTCCTCTGGATGGATATTAGCAACTTTCTGTAAACCAGTACGGTAAGCCTTTATTCCATTGACTAAATCATTCGATGTATTGGTAAGTTTAATTAATAATGCTTCGATAGCCCATTGTCTGTTTGCTTCATCTACGCATACATCTTGCCATTTGAGTTTAAGTACTGGTGCAGCCAGCGTTAGCATACGTCTACGTCGACTTAAACTCCCATTTTCATATCGGCTTTGTAGATGACTACTGTTACTACTGTTATTATTATCATTATGATTTATAAGATCTTCATCAATACAACGTTCCTCGCACAACATGACTGAAACAGCAGGAGTAACTGTTTGTGGGAGATATGAATTACTCGAATATTCTGCGTTTATGGAACTCGCCAGTGAATTTCTAAATTCATTAATATGTCCATTAGATAAAGAGTACAAAAAGTCATTGTAAGGGTAAGAGGAGTAAGTATCATCATTTGAAGAGTTGTTAGTAAAATCCAGATAACGTTTGTCGTTTGTTTGACTTTGAAGATCAGGAGAAATTAGAGGCGTGAGCTTTTCGCTAATTCTTCCTGTGGAACGGTTGTTTGCTAAAGTGACAAAAATTGAAAGGATAAACATCTCACCATTGTCCTGTAGTTGTCTTACTAAATAACAATAGTATACTTTACACTAATTAAGAGTGACTTTAAAGGCCACCCTAGTAATAACTTAAATGACCAATCAGGCTTCTTTATTTTATGAAAATTTGCATTTTTAGCCAAAATGAAGAAACCTAATTGGTCATTTCATTCGTTGCTAAAGTGGCCTTTAAAGTCACCCCTAATTACACCTAGTTTAGGTATATCATAATGGATAGCTTATCTTTGAATCTATGACGATCAGTTTCCGAGTAGCCAATGGCATAATGAAAGTCCACACTAAAAACGATACTTTGTTCTCTTTGCTTTGTCTCACTTATCATCGTCCTTGTTTCTTTTAAAATCTTTCAAAAAGCATGAACTTCTGAATTCCAGAATAATTGTTCAAGCTCGATATATCGTCTAACTGAGCTCATAAAAATTCTTTCAAATATTTGGCAGGTTTCTTAAAATAGAATAACGGATTATTTGGTTGGTTGTGGCCAACAGAAGAACCCAGGACGCGCGTTTCGTCCTATTTGGGACTCGTCACCTGGATGTACCTGCACCCCAGTCAGTGACGTTGTTCCCACTGAGAATCGAACCTCGTAACCATCGCTTCAAACGCCGAGGGCGAACAATTTGATCCAACAAAACAACGGAGAATAGCAAGTATGTCAATAAATAGTAATAACTACTACCCGTTGTACAAGAAGTAGCTATCGTTCCTCCATGGTATAGTGGATAACGCCTCAGCACTTGAAGCGATGAGTGCGAGGTTCGAGTCTCAGTGGGAACAACATCACTAACTGGGGTGCAGGTACATCCAGCTGACGAGTCCCAAATAGGACGAAACGTGCATCCTGGATTCTTCTGCTGGCCACAACCAACCAAATTATGATGATTAACATTCAGGCAATATCGAGACATCCGCATAGGAGCCCATATGCCAATAGAGGTCGAACAATTCCATCCAACAAAACAACCGAGAATAGCAAGTATGTCAATAAATAGCAATAAAATAACGGATGTTTAGAAAAGTAGGAAAGTGTACGAAAACAAGGTTTTAATTAGTTTGGGTAACAGTTCGACTGAGAACATATGTTCAAGATGAATATAAAAGAGGTTTCGAACCGGTCTAAAGTTACTTATTTTATACTAATTGTTAAGATCTTTTCACCATCACATTCTGACAGAGTAAACTTTGATATTATTTGTCTTGTATTCATTATTTGTCAACTTATCATTTTATTTTAGTGTTTTAGAGGTTTGGCATGCTAGGGTATATACCAGGATAATCGAATTCTATGAGTAAAGCGCAATGAAAATGTATATTAATAAGCATATTCCATTCATATATACTTACATTGTAAATCTGTATGACAGTCAGGTATACCAATTACTAAAGTTATCGCTTTATTTGGATGGCTATCTGCAGCTTCATACATCCACTTTATAACTTCTTTAAGCGTAATTGTACAATTTAAAGGTTGGTTTCCAATCCCTAGAAGATAAGCACCAACAGGTAAACCAGCCTGATCAGCAGGTGAATTTTTTCTTACAGAATGAATACGAAATAGTCGGTGAGTAGGTAGGCCACTAGACTTTTCACTGGATAATGAATTTTGGTATGTAGGTGATGTAAGTGGGGTACTTTCAAATTGGTAGAAATTAAAAGCATCATTTGAGTTGCCAATGTAAAACCATAACCTGATTCCGATTTTGGGATTGTAATCTGTTGAAAACAGTAGAAACATACACAGACATATATATTCTTTCCTTTGACTATAACAGCAAATATGAAAATAAAATGAAATACGAATAAATGAAGAGTATCGATGATATTACTGATGTGAGACAATAGATAGGGGTGGCAAAATTTGAAACAAAGACCTTCGGATTACCGACCCGGGACTCAACCAGGCAGGCTACAAAACTGTGGACTAAGTTGATTGTCACTCGAATGTGAAGTGAAACTTTTTAACCCACGAACGTTTACGGCCTGAAATATGAACACATAATAAAATCAACTACTTAGAGAAAGATACCATTCTCAAGTCAAAAACATAACAATAGTTTAAGGTAATTATCTGTGTGCTTAGTATCATAAAAATTGTATGCAGCGGTAGGTATCAAGTAATGTAGAATTCACAAGAGCCAATCCAAATATATTCCTATAAAGTTAGTATGTAAATTAACTGATGTCATATAATATTGTTCAGGCAGGTGATATGTCATTACGACAGAAAGAAAATAACTGTCTATGGTGTTGACCGTTATACCTTCCAAGATTCAGCTAACGGTTTGAATTGTTAGCCACATGCAGAAATTCGGACGTACACTGATGATGCTCCCTAAACAACGAGATTAGAATTGAGATGACAGACTAACTGAGTGAATGAGTGTTTTCCCTGAATTCTCGGTAAAATAAATCTTTTATTGTCAAAAGCCTGTACAATACACGTATACGCATGCGTGGACTGTGAGTCAGGCTGACGGTAACGGAAGTTTAGCTACGTGGTGAAATAATCTTCAGTAATCAGCGGATATACAAACTTTAGATAACAAGTAGATATTTACTTAAGTAAGCGTAGAGGTGGGGTGAAAATGATATCACACCGAAGCTTGGAATGAAGTTAAAAACGAATGTAAGCGCATATGGAAAAGAAGAAAATATATCAAAATAACTACTGACAAATAAAAAATATATTCCATGACTATTCACATGGTGATCAGAACAGTAGTTGAATAACGGTTGCATTGACGTCCCAATGATAATATTTAAGGACCAATGAAAATCAAGAATTTGAAAAAAAACGCCTTTTCAGAGTATTTTAGGGTAGGCTATCCGAGATGGTAATGGTTTAGAAGAATGGTTCTTATGTAACGGGTTTACAGACTGAAGCTGGAACGAATGACCAAGTCAAGATTCAAAACGATGGTCTACAGTTAAGGTTTCGTCGCTTTGATTACGACACTTTCCTCTGTTTGAAGAAGGCGAAGATTGACACGGTATTATGTGATCATTATGAAATCTAATGGGTAATTATGAAATCTGTGTTTATATGTGCTATGTGATTCATAACCTTCACTACACCTACCTGATAAGCCTTATTTACTTACCAAGAATAGGATCAACTATGTCACTCTTCATATTTCTAAATTATAATCCCCATTAACTTAATTGTTCTATTTGCCCCCTTCTTCGGTTTCTATATAAATTGACTTGACATTCACGTATCTGAATAAAATTTGTGATTATGTTCACTCGTCCTCTACCTAATCATATAGGAAAGTACTGTTCAGTTGATTAAGAGATAGTACTTATTATGTGTCACAGGTAGGACAACTGAGGAGTTTCATCATTTTCCTAGATGAATCTGATACATCTTGCTGAAAGTTGATTTCAGGCACAAAATTTAGGTACAGTGATTTGTTCTGATGTTCCTTCAACTACCCGTTAAAGTTGTAGAAACTGCTATGAATTTTGTTTGCTATAAACTGGCGTCGACTTCCAGCAAACTGAAGGCACCTTGAGATCTGGAGAGGTTTACTTCATGAAACAGATGCCAAATTACTTTTTATTCCTTATCAATGACATGCTTTGAGATGAATTTCTTGAAGTTCTAATAAGAAAGCTGTGACGTACAGGGTCAGACATCTCAGGTGTACGGACAAATACTTGCCGAAGGTACAGGGTATCGGTCTAGCTATCACGCGAATTGACAGAAAAAATATGGACCATTGCATTCTGACTCAGTATTTGATAGGTAACATACTCACCAAGTCAGTTTATTCTCTAGAATGGTCGTGAGTGCGCGCTACTGAAGGGTTCTCCGTTTTATATTGTTCTGCAAACGACTTATAGGCACCTTTTTTCGTTACTTTTAAAAAAACTTTCGAATTTGTGCATACATGCAATGTAACTTTAAGATCAACCCAATAAGCATTGAAGTGTCTTAGCGATTAAAATGAAAAGTGGAATCATAATAATAGTATTTACTTAAAACTTTTACACTTATTAATTTTTTCTTTTGAAAATGAGAAAAAGGCTTCACCTGTAACCGTTTAAAACATTCTGTCTGGGATGCTGGGGAGTTCTGTTCGTCACTGATGTGTAAAGAAGATAATGTAGAAAGACTTTCAGACGGGATGATGACATTAGTAACTTCAGATGTCAAGGACTCCGAATGATATTTGAGGGACCCTTGAAATAAGAATGTATCCGGTTTACCACACTTAGATGAACTTGGTACTGTAGCCACAGACATATGACGACGATAACATGAACTTTGTCCAAGCAAATAATACCACTGTGGTTTAGGAAAATTGTCAGTATTCGCCAGTGACGGTATATTGATTGAAGATCTTTCAGTAGTGAAGTATTCAAAATTTGATTTTTGCGAATGTAAGTTATGAGAGAGTGATGATTTGAACAAATTCACAGACTTTTCTGCCTGGTAACATAGTAGTTCCGTAGATTTTTCGGACTTTTTTCTCAATCTTCTAACATCAAAAGACATTCCTCCAAGTAAAATGGCATTTTCATAACCAAATCTGTATAGGAATATGAAATCCACAATTATGTGAGTTTTAAGCACAAAGGTGAATAATGATATAATTTTATACTGACTCGTAATTTACGCACTGAAATAAACTCAAGGTCATCAAGATTATAATTGGCTTAATGCGAGATTCTGATAGTCAATAATAAGAGAACAAATGAAACCAACTACAGAAACATGATGCATCCACACACACATACACAAACACATTTACCAGCATTTATACAATAATTACTGGACGCGCAAGTTAATTTTATTATTGGCTAAAATATGTTAAATTTGAGCAGGCCATCAGAAAGAACGAACTTGTAAATCGAATTTCTAAGTGAAAGGATTAGTCATTGTACCTACAAATAACATTAAATTTAACTATTTGAATTATATGTAGTAATGATGGGCAGTGGGGTCCAGGATGCGCATTTCGTCCTATTTGGGACTAGTCAACTGGATGTACCTGCCTCCCAGTGATGATGCACCCTCCCGAGTCCGAGTCCCAGTGGGTGCAGCATCACTGGGAGGCAGGTACATCCAGCTGACGAGTCCCAAATAGGACGAAATGCGCATCCCGGATCCCACTGCTAGCCACTGCCCATCATTACTATACATAGTTAAAAGACAGGCAATATCGAGGCATCTGCACAGGAGCCCATATGCCAACAGAGACTGATCAATTCGGTCCAATCAACTACGGTGTAATACAAGCAATAACACTATTTGAATTATAGTCCATAAAGCTGGTACTGTATGAAAGTAATAATAAGAAATATTTGGTTCCACTTACTCATCTACTAGGTGTTTGTCCTTATCAGCAGTTCTGCAAATGTCTGAAGATAGAACATAGATCTCACTTTACCACCTGATGTTAGAACTTAGCAGAAAGAAAAATACATTTAGACAAAGAAACTGGATTATTCATCTACTATCTGGTAAAAAAGACAACTTTAGTAACCTTCTGGTTCAAGTTGCAACTGAGTTCAAAATGTGGCCAGAAATTAGATTACAAGTTTGGTCTCATAGCTTTAGTGGTAAATTAAAAAACCAGCGGTCTGAAGACCACTAATTCTGACCAGACTACAACTCCATTTTTTCACAAAACTAAACTTATCATCCTTGAGTAAATTCAAAGTATGCGAAGCATGTTATCTGTCTGATGTACACTGACAAAATTCATATCTAGAACTTTATCCTATAGTGTAAATTATTGTCTATGACTTTTAATCACATTATTCAAGTACTTATGGTACCATTAGGCTTGTATTACTTTTGAAATTTTTGATTAACTTATCAACTGAATTCTGGAGAAGAAAGCTCAGAATTTGAATACATTTCAAAAACTAGTTCATTTTTATCATTCACTGAAGTACTCAACCGATATCTATCTGGAGGTTTGTAGAGGTTTTTATTGATTGATTTTAGGTCGAAATTCATCATGGACTGAAATCACTTGGAGTAAGATTGAAAACCTGGATGAATAGTGGCTAGCAGTGGAATCCAGGATGCGCGTTTCGGCCTATTTGGGACTGGTCGGCTAGATGTACCTGCGATCACTCCCGAATCCATCGTTACTATCATAAGAGCATAGGTAATGTCGACGCATCTCATATGATCCCATATGCCAATAGAAACCGATCAGTTCGGTCCAATGATATAAAAACAATTATATTTACTAAAGATTAAGAAGTAGTTTAATGTTAATGTTACAGTTAGCATAAGCGGATTCAGATTTAAAATTTCCCACCTGAAAGTAAGTTAATAGTATTCTACTTTAGTATCGTCTGTTGATCAACTTTATCAAATACTTCAGAATGAAAGTTAAATCATGCTATATAACACTCTAAATGTGCTGGCATACATAAACACTTCACTATTTTCCCCAAAATTTGTTCTTGTAGTTTCTTCTTTACTGAATACAGTCATGTCAATCAACATATAATCTATTTAACTAGGCAGATACTCATTAGAAGTTTATGGAAGTCCAATATGATATCTGATGAGGATGCATGTTCGATAACATGATGTCAAAATGAATACTTTTTGTTGTTTAACAGACGTCAATTGAATTCAACTTGTCTCTGCAAATGTTTATGATTTCAATGATAATAATAACAATAATCAGTTAAGAGACCTTTCACTTTAGTCTGCAAAGACTAACTGTGTTTTCTAGATAAACTTCGAGAACATGTATACTCAATTCATTTTCAATAATTCTCTAATTCTTCATAAAGAAAAACTAGTTATTTCAGTCATAAATAAAAGCTGTAACCTTATCAGACTGATTCTTATTGGAACTATTACTGATAATCTTGGTTGACAAATTCCACTGCTGATAAGCACCGATGACTATAGTTAAAACAAGGGGAAACTACTGCAATGAAGCACTTGCTTTAATTAACCAAAAGTTCTTGGATTTCGAAGTTTGTGGGGATTTATTTATTGATTTTATGTCGTCATTAATTATGGACTGAAATCAGTTGGTAAAACATTAGAAATCTCGGAGTACTGGACAGATGTTTCATCCTAGTATGAGACTTTTCAGCAGCTGGTACTCATTATTCTGCTAGCGACTGAACTCAGGGCCCACGGTAGCACATTCTACATCCAGAGCCGTCGTTGGTCACGCTGTATCGTGAACTGACAGAAATAGGAAATATGAACCATTGGATTTCAACCCAGTGGCTGAATGGTAACTTGGTGGATGCGGAACCTCAAAATCCCAGGTCCGATGAAGGATGTAACATCTGTCCAGTGCTCCCAGGTTTCCAATTCTTTTCCAACTGATGTCAGTACATGACCAATACCAATCTGAAATCAAATAATTTTCACTGGTTACTTTTATGTCATTCAAATTGTCACAGCTTTTGAACAACAGTCATGTGCTATTCTATCCAATTTTCAACTAATATCATTTTATATATTTGTATGGAATTCAAAGTATTGCCAGAAGAAAAAGTAGTAAATCTCATGAACCGAGAAAACAATGGATCGTGTTGCTTTTAGAAAGACACAGGACTAGATTTTGTGCGTAAAAATAAATTACTTCGACTTTGACTACACTCATCAGTGATAATAGTGTAGTCCAGGACTTTCGTCAGTAGTAGTCTTAAGATCCTATCCAATCTAACATCCATCATTTCAACTAACGGAGTGTTATCCACCAGTTTACTGAGTCACGGTAGGAGCTTCTGGTTAAACGGATTCCATTTGTGAGTGAAACTTGATTTTTATCCTTGTTGAACTTCACCTGACCACCAATAAATATCATCAAGGTGAGAATCAATTAATGCCGAGGTATCTGAACAAAAAGTACATGTACCAGAAGATTTTGACAAAGCAAATGATCAACTTGGTCCCACTTAAAAAATTGTAAACGAAGAGCATGAAACAGAACGAACAGCCTCTGACATTATAACTACTAAGCTTTGCTTGTATGGTGCTTTTATTGGTGTCATTATTTTACTCAGCTTTTGTCAGTTAAATTATTTTATCCTTTGTTTTAGTAGTTGATTTTATGAGAAAAATTACTAGACAATCAGTGGGTTCAAGTTTTGCATACTAGGTTGAATTCCTAGTTATCATATTTCCTGAGAGCGAAAACCACTCATCAAGATAATATGTTTGATGCAGTTCTCATAAAAACACTATTTCGCTAACAGTAAATGTTCTTTATATGATAAAGGTAAAGTCAGTTTCTGAAGGATTTGCACTGAAATTCTCCACTCATATAATAACACTAAACAACATGTAGACACTTGAATTAAGACTCCGGAATCATTGGTTGCTAGAAACTGAAACAATGTAAAGGATAGGTATTTATTTATTTGTTTCATTAACATGTCAGTCGATTATCGACTGAATAAATGTTAAAAATACGATGTCAAGGTTGAAAGGTGCAGGATGCGGTTGTAAGAAACGTTTCATAAAGCAGAAACAAAACCAGTGACTTTTACTAGCTATATGAACTTTTCAGAAAAAGATTGAAACAGACGTTGATGAAGTAAGATGTACTCAAAAGCAATATATGCAGACTAAATTTAGGAACAACATTTCTGAAGCTATCAGATAGTGGTTAACGTCATCAAACCCTAAATGCTGAGTCACACGTTCAAATACTTATTGGTATGCATGTGATATAATTAACCCCATAGCTTTATACACAAGCTTTCAGTTACCTTTTCAGTTGTTGTTTGATTTTAGACTAAGATTTCTTGCAATCACATGAAAATTAGGAAACCCTGTTGTAAACAGTGTTCAAAACCCACAGTTATCTACCTAGCTTGATTCAAAACTGACTATCAACAGAAATAAAAGTAACACGGATAGTTCAGTCTAAATGAAGTACTTCAAAAACAAATATTATTATTATCATTAGTCCCTTGGGTTCATAATGGAACATACGGCTTCAGTAGCACGTCTCCATTCCACTCCACACTCTCTCTCCAATCTTCTCAACTTGGCTCCACAAATGCCCACAAACTCTCATTTCTTCCTCACACTATCTCCTCCATGTCACCCTCGACACCGATGCTCAACTCATAGCTTCCCATCTGGGTTCCACTCGAGTGATTGGCCTGGTGCATTATGCCCCCAGTCGGCCTTCTCAGTCGGCCATGCACAATACATCCCCATCTCCACTTCCTTCTGCATATCTGTTGAGTGATAGGTTCTTGCTTTGTTGGTACGTTGCCAGCCAGCCAGCCAGCCAGCCAGCCAGCCAGCCAGCCAGCCAGCCAGCCAGCCAGCCAGCCAGCCAGCCAGCCAGCCAGCCAGCCAGCCAGCCAGCCAGCCAGCCAGCCAGCCAGCCAGCCAGCCAGCCAGCCAGCCAGCCAGCCAGCCAGCCAGCCAGCCAGCCAGCCACAGTACCTTGTTGCTTATTCTCATTATTCTGGCAATCCATCTGATCTGATCTGATCTGATCTTCAGTAAGCAGCCAGTGTAGGGGGCAGTTGTTGATGTGATGTATGTCTGTAGTTTGTTGGGAATCCCTTTCGTAACGTACCAAGTCTCTCAACCATCACATAGAAGCACTGACTTGACTGATGTTCGTGTTGAAAATCCGGATGTTGTTCCACATGCTGAGTGGAGTGCAGAAGATCTCCACACTGATTTCAGGCTAATGAACGAATGCCTGTCTTGCTGTCTTTCCAATCCTGACTTTGACATCGTCGTCTGTGCCTGTGCCACCTGTAGTTGAGACAGTGCTGCGTAGGAGAGTGGGTGAAGGAGTCTACTTCCTTTAAGTTTCTCATGTTCATGATGATTGGAGCTTCTTGTTGTTGTTGGTGGTGGTGGTGGTTGGGTATCTTCATCACCTTTGTCTTCTCTACGTTCGAAAACAATAAACTGCTCAAAATCATGACGCGGAACAAATTTGCTGAAATCTATGATAATTGTCCGAAATGCACCAAACCCATTCGATTATATAAACTTCAAATACAGTCATAACTGCTGACCTGACCAGTGAAACTGTTGGATAGCTTGAATATTGATGTTGTTATTTCATGCTAAGTTTTCGCGATAAGTAATCCTTGACTTCAGTATACCTTTTATAGTCTCATCCACATTTTTGATTAGATTAAGTAGAAATCAGAAGGTCGAGTAACAACTGGAATTTTATTTGTTTTTCAGTCATCATACGTTTACATATAGACCAGGATTTCAATCACAAGTGCCTCCTTTAAGTAAACTGAAAGTGAGAGTTTGGGAACGCAAAAATCACAAATTTGCGAAGTTTTTTGACAGCATGATGCACGAAAAATGGCTATGCCCAGGCAAACAGATATGTGAATGTACTAAACGTTGGTCAGAGAAGAATGATAATCCCTTAGCCACCTGAAGAGTCAGAGTAAACTAGTTAACAAATGCTACCTTAACAACGAAGTTCAAAATCTCATATGAACAAGGCTTTCCTTTATGCAGCATAAGAGAACAGTAGTTAGAATAATTCAAGTCAAAATGTGACAAGTGGGGCTGGTTGTCTTTTATTCTCAACCTCATTAACTTTATGGTTCACAAAAATTTCACCTAAACACGCACATAACGTCAACATGCTTTATGTTTAAGTGGCTTGAAAATCCCCCTAAAACAAAAGATGTTCAGCGATAACATTCTCCGGCTGTACAATCATATATAAATATTCTATTTATGAAAAATTTCTTTACTGTTACCATGTGAATCGAATATTTATATGCAGTTTTACAACTTGAGAATGATGTTGTTGTAAAAAGTGACTATTGGCTAAACCTCTTTACATTTAAGTAGGTTTGATGGCGGTTAAGTGATATGACCTACTGACAGCATAATTTGTCAAATATCTAGTTTCCAAGGAGAAAAAGAACTTTTCTTCTCGATTCTTAAGTTAAATTTGCCAATGTGCATCTTTATGGTCATGATTTAAGGTACCATCATTCCTGGCTTTTTACTCACTTATGTAACAAGTAGTATATGAAAACTCTAGTTATGGTCAGGTTGTGTTTATTTTAGTAAAGCTATTGGTTTTTGAGCCTGAGTTTTCATGGGTAAAACAGTATAAGTACCATCTTCATTGTAGATTCACAGTGACTGAGGATAAAAGTTACGTTAACATTAGATCGACGTATACGGAACATGACTGGAACTTATCTCACGTTTTCAAAGATCTAGGTCATGAAAATTAGAATCAATAGATGAATGAAATAAGCATTAAGATACATCATATCACGCACATGAATGAACTCACTTTGACTGGTTTAAGTATAACTCTATGTATAAACGATGACTATGAGTTACATGTGAGATTTCACTGAAAAGAAGATAAAAAGATGATTTGAAATCTATTAAATAGTTATGAAAGTGAATCTAGTTAAGTGTGAATCTGGAGGTACACTTTAATCATATTTATAATAATTAAGTATTACTTTCTAATGAACACTACACAAACACTATCAAGAACTCCATGGTGGTTAGTGACATTTGGAGGTTACTTTGAATATCACATAAACTGAATTCAGTGCTTTTTAATTCTAACTAATCTGTTTTTGACTTATGATATAATCTAGGCACATCAAGTACTGAATTCTTGTTATCAATAACAAAATATTGGGCTATATTTCATCCCCTCTGTCTCTTATCAACAACAATTATCACAGTCTTCAGAGAACCATACTGTCCACATTTGTTAAGGAGTAGCGAGTAGCTTTTACAATATTGAATTTTAAAGTTCAAGTTGGAGGTTCCACTTGCTAGTGAAGATCAAGAAGCAAGAAATTCAGATCCAAGGCTATTTCAACATTTATCTCGAACATCTGATACCAAGTTCACTTTATCAGGATTTCAAGCAGCTCAGGTGAATAGTTTGATCTCTCTAATTGAATGATCAGCTTTGATTACATCTCAGGACAATAGTATGAATATGATGATCATCCATTGGGTGAAAGATACATAAAATATCTCACTCTAAACGATCAAACCTTGAGGAATTGGAGGTAACTGTTGTTTGGCTATGAAGCACAGGATATAAGTTAAATACCAGTTCCATTTTGGCTTATTGTGGTCAAACAGTCGCATAAGATTCTTTTGACGAAAATACTTACAAAGTAAAATCAAACAGTTTCACCCAGTATAAGCGGTAAAGGCAGTGACGATTCGTGAATTAACACCAGATCTTTGAAAATGAAGGTGATTTATTCAGTTCCTTAGTCTGTCTTTCTCTCACCCTTCCCACTTCCCCCTACTGAATGTCTCATTAGTGTTTAGGCTATATATGCTCCCGCTGCTATCTGCCCTACCAAATGGTAAGTGATGATTCAAACACCATACCTTATTAATGATAAGCGATGTCCAAACTGTTCAGTTTCATCAGTTTCCTCTCATCTCATCGCATAATAAATTACCATTTGATTCTTTTCCTTTCCCTTAAACAGTTTTATCTCTTAAATAGTCCTAGTGATACAGTATCAAGTTACTTTATACTTGCATCAACTATGAATACTAGTGTTAAGTTCAGAGGACGCTAATATAAAAAAGTAAATTTTCTTCAATAAACTGACTTCCTAAAGTTTCTTTTCGAAGACTAAAACCTGAAATGAAAGCAGAAAGCAACAGCTATTTTGCATAAATACATGTCTACGTAAAACAAATTTGGTGAAGGAAAGGAAAAAAAATCCTTACTCTGTGTGTTAATCGAAGTGATCATCTTAAGAAATTTTTAGCAGAAAAGGTATCCGGAAGTGAATTTGATTCAAAACATATGCGGTTTATTCGAAACTACTTTTACTTAAGTTATTATACTGTATACTGTCTTATGATGAAAGGTTGAGTGTAATTTGTCGAGAGGATGGCTACCAATAATAAAACTTACTGATTCGAATCTATCCATAGTTGTTGTTTCCCTTGAATATTTGTATTTGAGAATGTGAAAGTATATACCTAAGAGAATCATCACAATATTTTCAGATACAAGTTTATAAAAATTTAATGCTGTGTTGTGATAGTGTAACTAATTCCACATTGTCTGAACTTAAATATACTTTTAAACTTACAGACACAAGATATTTGAGGCGTATAGCTTAAGGGCATCGAGTAAATCACTTTTAAACTATTCATAATCGTTGTTCTACCAAAGGATAACTTCTCTTTTTTATGTTATTACTTGTATTATCCCGTTGGTGATTGGACTGAACTGATCGGTTTTTATTGGTATATGAACTCCTACACAGATGCCTTGATAATAGCTATCGTTCCAATTTTACAGTAATGTTACATAGCGGCTAGCAGTCAAGAAGTGGCCATGATGACTCGATCACCTAGTGGATAACGCTCTAGCGTTCAAAGTGATCTGTTCCCGGTTCGAGTCTTAGTGCGAAGAAAATCACTCGCGGGGAGGTAGGTAGATTCATTTAACGAATCTCAAGCAGGAAGAAACGCGAGTACTTGATTACAAAACTAACCACTTTTCATCATTATGATAACTCCTCTGCAAATTACCTCCTACCTGACTATGTTTTGAACTGCTCTAATTATCGCAATAACAAACATTACAGCGTAAACAAATGGGAAATAATCTGAGAACTTCATCAATAAAAACATTACTTACAAGGAGAACTTTTCATTGAAAACCGGTGAAGTGCAATCGGGAACAGATTTAGTACGAAGTTGATAGGTGGTGCTCTGAGGCGCATACTTCGGTGCTATTCGAATCTGAAAAAATTAAAACTTCATCACTCTTTATGAGAAAAATACTACACTGAAGATAGTTTTCAAATCAGCTCAAAAATCATTGAAAAGTAAAGAGTATGCGAGTCTACGTCATTACAACTCAAGACTACTGAGCCATGTGCATGTTGTAATTAATTTATGATTTTAAATATATGCACAATCACAGTGAGATTATTACTATTACTCCCTTGGGTTCATAATGGAACATACGGCTTCAGTAGCACGTCTCCATTCCACTCCACACTCTCTCTCCAATCTTCTCAACTTGGCTCCACAAATGCCCACAAACTCTCATTTCTTCCTCACACTATCTCCTCCATGTCACCCTCGACACCGATGCTCAACTCATAGCTTCCCATCTGGGTTCCACTCGAGTGATTGGCCTGGTGCATTATGCCCCCAGTCGGCCTTCTCAGTCGGCCATGCACAATACATCCCCATCTCCACTTCTTGAATCGACCACCACCTACACTTCGTCTAGAAATACCACCTACAGTCGCAGAGCTAAAAGTTAATATAAATCCTCCAACAAAAGTGGAAGTCCTGAACGCCATAAAGATACTGAAGTGCAGGAAAGCAGCAGGACCACATGGAATCCCACCAGAAGCACTGAGAGCATACACAGAGACAACAGTGGACATGCTCACACCACACCACTATTGCAGAAGGTGTGGAAGCAGGGGAAGGTACCTGCCTAGTGATTGGAAGAAGGGTTACCTTGTCAAACTCCCGAAGAAGGGAGACCTCAGTGTTTGCAAGAACTGGCAATCAAAATATTAAGCCGCATCATCCTGGAGAGACTAAACGGTGCACTGGATTCAAAACTACGACCGGAGCAGGCTGGCTTCCTGGCTGACTGACTGGCTGGCTGGCTGGCTGACTTCAGGAAGTACAAATCATGTGCAGACCAAATTGCAACGCGACACTACACATCATCATAGAACAGAGTATAGAATGCCAGTCAACTCTACACCTCACCTCAACTTCATCGACTTTGAGAAGGCTGGCCTTCGACAGCGTCGACCAACAAGTAATGCGGCAGTCAGTTGCTTCAACACTACGGAATATCGCAAACCTCTATCAGCCTCATTCAACAACAGCTATATGAAGATGCCACATGCCAAGTAATCACAATGGGAAGCTCAGTGATGTTTTTGAAGTGAAGACAGGAAGGAGTGAAACAAGGCTGTCTACTATCCCCATGATATTCCTGATTGTGGTGGACTAGATCATGCAGCGAACAGTGAGGAGCTGTGAGAAGAGGGGGATACGCTGACTGGACCGTGGAAAAGAACCTAGAAGATTTGGATTTCGCCAACGATGACTTGTGTCTGATGTCGCACAAACTTGAAGATGTGCAGGCGAAAACTAACAAGTTGACAGAAGAGGCAGGGCAGGGCAACCAAGGAAGACGGGACTTCAAATGAGTGTAGAGAAGACAGAGGTGATGAAGATACTCAACAACCACCACCACCACCACCACCAACAACAACAACAACAACAACAACGACAACAACAACAATGACAACAACAAGAAGCTCCAATCACCATGAACGTGAGGAACTTAAAGGAAGTAGCCTCCTTCACCCACCCTCCTAGGCAGCACTGTCTCAACTACAGGTGGCACAGGCACAGACGACGATGTCAAAGTCAGGATTGGAAAGACAGCAAGACATGCCTTCCTTCATTGGCCTGAAAACCAGATATGCAGAATGAAGTGGAGATGGGGATGTATTGTGCATGGCCGACTGAGAAGGCCGACTGGGGGCATAATGCACCAGGCCAATCACTCGAGTGGAACCCAGATGGGAAGCTATGAGTTGAGCATCGGTGTCGAGGGTGACATGGAGGAGATAGTGTGAGGAAGAAATGAGAGTTTGTGGCATTTGTGGAGCCAAGTTGAGAAGATTGGAGAGAGAGTGTGGAGTGGAATGGAGACGTGCTACTGAAGCCGTATGTTTCATTATGAACCCAATCGACAAATAATAATATAATCTGTATTACTTTATAACAGTTATAATTTATTATAAAACCTCAATCTAACCTATTTGTTCTAATGTTTGTTGGCTCACTGGTATATATGTACGTTGTTTCACGATATTGATGTAAGTTATGCTGCATAGTATACAATTGATGAACCGTATTGGTACATGTGAACTGAGTGGAAGAAATCCCTTTATGTGTGAGACAGACATAGTGAGTGAGATAGAAAAGATGTTACAATGAATTGTAGTCATCCTATCTATTGAACTGCGCAACATACATAGGAGTTCAATCAAATAGTATACTTGCTTGTATTAGATCTATCAAATATTTTATATTCTTTTTACTATGCTGACAAGGACAATTTAATCGATCTTATGACTGACTACAACTTATCTTAACAAAATTTTCCCTTCATCGCCGTCACGCACACACCCATATGGTTGTAATGCTTTCGAAAACAAAACATTGAACAAGATTTCCTATACTGAGCTGTTTGTTCGATGACTGTAGGGTAAAGTGAACCTGATATGTAAATTTTAAAAATTATTGTTTCCTGGAAAACACAACTTTTCAATTAAGTTCGAATAGGAGGGGCCTTTTACATTTTTTCACTTCGCCTAACATATTCACCAACACTTGACGAAATCAGTTAATCACAATCTGTTGAGAGACTGGGAGTAGTTACCACACCAAATTGCTTAGATAACCTTTGTCTTCTTACCATATTATACAAATTCATCAAAGAGACTAAGTATTTCAAATCACACAGTGTAACAGCATTATTTACTGAATTACTTTTCGAACACATTTTATTGTCCATAGTCATATCAAGACAACTACATAACTTTGAGACAGTTCTAATTTTCTCTTTCTTTGTGATATCGATAGTAGGATTTTCTATATATCTTGAACAGATACTGATTCATTTCTGTTGCATGAATTACATGTTGATTCGGCAAACAAAGGTTCAGTTATCTATCTCTCCCTCCGCCTTGCTATGTTAGTTTTAAGAATTTTCATCCTGTCCCATCCTGTTGTGTGGCTGTCTGTAGTTGCAAGCTTTTTTTTTCTAGATCCCTCATCTCACTAGGATCTACCGATTTTGACCTAGCTACGTTTTTGTGCTCGAATAGTCTAAATGACCCTGGTTGACTACTTTGACCAATGTATTTGACATCGCAATCGTTGCAAGGGGTTTGGTAAACTAAATTATTCCGCCCAGATGGATAAATAGGGTCTTTTAACCTACTTGGCTTATTCCGAAGTGAGTTTGTTGGTTTAAATCCCACTCGAATCCCAACCAGCCTTGTTGAGAATCCTACGTGATGTCTCTGAGGTGCCTTCTTTGTATAGTAATACCGTGGGGGTTTTGATTTCAATCTTCTCAACATTGTCATTATTATTATTATTATCATTATTAATGGCATTATTATTACTACTATTAACACCTGTATTACTAGGTTTAGCCATATTTTCTTTACGATTCCTGAGGAACTTATGAATTAATTAGGAGGGCGATTGTTGATTAGGAAGGCCTCCCGAATATATCTGCTTTCTTTTCTCAGATCTCTTGTTTTACTAGCAAGTGTTCTGGCCCGGTTAGTGAGAAATTTTACCAAGCCAACTCTAACTGACATATGGTGAGATGATTTAATGTCTAAGTGAAGATCTGAATATGAAGGTTTTCTGTAGACACTAATATCTAAACTGTCATCTTGTTTTCGTTTTATTCTGCAATCCAACATCGCTGATTCTCTTTCACTGTTTTCCAATTCATAGGTGAGTTGGATTGCGTTGATTACTGAATTCATGTGTATGTAGAAATTATGTATGCCCTCCGATTTCAACATTACAACCATGTGGTCTACATATCGAGACCGTACTTTTGGAACCGGACTTAATGTTCTCAAAGTCATCCTTTCCCAACTATTCATAGACATATCAGCCATGATAGGAGATATTGGTGATCCCATGGCAACTCCTTCTGCTTGTGTATACACTTTATTCTTAAACTTAAAGACTGGGGAAGTTAGGCGTAGCCGTACTGCTAACATACCCTCCTCTACCGGTTTCTTAGTTCAAAGTCCAAGCTCATGGTCATTATTAGGCTCGTTTCTAAGTACTTCCACAGCCATTTTAATCGATATATCGATATATATATATATAAATCTATGATTTAGGTCATAAGAGTTAGTAGGTCTCGATTTAGAATAGTTTCTGATTGTATCTAGTACCACTGCTAAATACTTAGTTAAGTTATAAGGAGGAGTGTTTCTAAAGTCTACTAGTACCATAAATCCTACTGGGATCATTAGTTTTCGGCATTAAATTTAATCATTTTGGCTAACCGAAAAGGGTTTCATTCGGCGTATTAGATCCATTATGGTTTTTTAACTTTATCTATTGGTTTCTTAATTTCTTACGGTCATGTTTCTATATCTTTGTTGACTTCCTGAACGTAATCAGATTTGTTTAACACTACTATTGTGTTGCCTTTGTTCAGTCTAGCTATTACTACATTATTGTCATTATGAAAGTTTTTCGGACCTTTATTTATCGAATCAACACGTAATACATGCAACAAAAATGACTCAGCACCCGTCCCAGATATATAGAAAAACCTACTACCGATATCACAAGGAAGGGAAGAGAATTAGAACTGCATTAAAGATGTCTCAAAATTGTCGAGTTATCTTGATATGACTATGGACAATAAATTGTGTTTGAAAAGTTATTCAGTAAATGTGTGTGATACGTTTAATGACCCACTTAAAATGAAAGGTATGACTATGAAGACCGTCCTAGGAACCAGTGAGGAAACCACATTTCTGGTCGAAATAAATAAATCTAATTACTTATCTACCAGACGCCAGAATGGTATTTTCGGTCACTGATTACCAAGATAAACCCCTTTTCATAAAAAATGTTGAAAATTATGTTTATGTATATTGCAGTTTACATCGGATTATGTTTGACAGACAGAGTAACCACATGAAGATAATTTATATGACTGAACCACCTGGAGTACCAATTGTGGAAACTTAATGATGTATGTAGCAGTAAGGTTACTTAGATACTGATACAAATGTACATATATGACTAGTGTACAACTTACCTCCACAAACATGCCATAGCCTTCATCTACAGGCACTTGAAGGTAACGAGCCTGAAGAACTAAAGAAAGGTATTGTAATCAAAAAGATTGAACATAACTGAAAAATTATCGACATTATAAATGTATTCTGATGAAATATGGAACTAGAAAGATTGTAATTCACTGTTTTCAACATTTGACTTTCATTTATTTGAGTATGCTTGAAATGTAGGTAGATTGGTTATCGTCATACAATACGTCTTACATCCTATTTCACTCACTGGTACTTAACTTCTTTGAGATGCTTTTCTTTATATACCGATTTGGGGAAAAAGTGGTAAGATTAGGTTAGTTAAATCTGTTTGATTAACTTATGTCATCAACGATTATGTCGCATCTCCTGTATCGTATTTATTGTGCAAGAAATTTGTTCGCATTTTGACTGGTTATAACCGTAATAATATCATCAGCAATGATGATATACGACTTGACATGACTAAGGATCTCTTTCTACGGTTGCATTCAAGATTACTATAGTAAAATATCAATGGAAAGATCAACAAGAGGATAAATATATTAGTGTCAATGATGAGGGGAACTATAACTCAATCAAGCCGAATTAAATGGATAAGGACCTGGAAAACTGTCACGTAATAAGCGTAACCCACGGCCGAGTATGCAAACCTGTATCGCGTTGAATTATATTCAGTCAATAATAATAGTGGGAAACAACTAGCAGAAAAATAAGGAATCGAACAAGGTGAAATAAAAGAAATATATGCAGGTTAGTAAAACAGTCTGAACTTAGTGAGTGATAATGTGTGGATAGACTTGAAGATCACATTCCATTCTGAGTTACATCATTTAAAATTTATAAACACTAATTTCTGTTGCTTCATGAACTTGAGTATGGTTATCTACACTCCCTGTACGGTTTAAATCAGGGCTCAGAAATTTCATGAATTGTTACTACATTTTCGAATGACTTTTTCAAGATCTCTTCTACCTTAAACTGCCCAAGTAAGTATGGGAACAAGGGTAGGTGTGGCTAACATATACTTAGACTGTCTCAAAGAATGAAGGTTCACAACATTATCAACTAATTTTACTTCTTTGCCTCTTACATCTCACTAATAGTCCTTCTAACTTGGTGGTTTCGCTTTCAGGCAAGTGAAGTTTTGAAACGATGAGTAGTGACATATCCACATCAGTAATCTTTTGTTGTTTAGATTATTGTTTTCTTCATATTTCGTAGAAGCTACAGTTTTTTGAGCTAACGTTCTAGCTATGACTAAGCGTTCACAATTTCATTTTTAGCCTTATTAGTCTGTCTTCTTCATCTTGCCGCCCTTGTGCATTAAGTTTAGTCCTTACACGTAATTGGCATATTGATTTCTTCATTGTGACCTCATATCATTATGCTGCACATAAGATATGCTATTCTATTAAAATCGATCATGACACATTCCTTAAGATAACAACTTTATCATGAGCAAATAAGAAGAAAACTCTTCTATACATGAATCATCGCAAAAAGGGTGGTGGATTTATCAGTGGGAGCTTCATTGTTGTTTACTTCAGTAATATGAGTATGGACCTGAGAGAAGAAATGTAATCAAACTTTATAACCTAATACCTAGACTAATCGTGCATTCAGATGATGTAAAGATTGACAGAAATCTGCTTACTTCTTTTCTTCATATCAGATAGTGTATGAGGCTGTCAGCCTATAAGAGAATAAGGGTGGATGAAACAAAAACGGTAGCAGATTTGTCTAGAAAGCAACAAAACTGCAATAACTATACATTTTGATGCTTTGATAAGAACCTTTATTTCACATCTGCTTTCAGTGTAAGCAAATAACATTGGATTCAGGTTCGCATATCCATTGATGAGCCGTATGCATATTATTAGATCTAACTAATGATAACGAAATATGTAGAAGGAAGTGGAGATGGATTGGGCATGCACTGAAAAGACCATACAGGGACATCACGCACCAGGCCAGTCACTCGAGTGGAACCCAGATGGGAAACGATGAGTTGGGTGTCGGTGTCGAGGGTGAGATAGACGAGATGGTGTGAGGAAGAAATGAGAGCTTGTAGGCTGTCGTGGAGCGAGGTTGAAAAGACTGCAGAGAAGAGAGTGGAATGGAGACGTGCTACTGAAGCCGTATGTTCCACTGGAAACCCAAAGGAAAAATAATAAATAATAATGATAACGAAAATACAAACATAATTAGATGCAGCAGTTTAGAGATAATAGTGACTGAAAACAGAATGAACTACAGTCAAGACTAATCATCTCGGTGACTCGCAGTGGAATCAGTAAGACGTGTTTCGTCTGATTCGGGACTCATCAGCTGAATATACCTCTACCCCACTAACTGATGTTGTTCCCACTGAGACTCAAACCCAGTACCCATCACCCCAAAGCGTTATTCACTAGGCCACTGGGACATCAAAGCCACCTCTTGTGAAATGGGTACCAGTTGTTGTTTGATACTTATTATTTTCCGTTGCTATTCAGAGTCGAAGTGTTTGACTTCCACTACATTCAGTTCTCTTTTTGAATTAATTGAACAAGCAACATATCAGATAGCTACACAATAATTCCCACTTTGTTGGTTTTAAGCGCGGACGTCTCCAATCGAAGATTTATAACAGTGAAGACCTTTTAATAAATAACGCTAATAAATACACTTCATGGATTGTACAAGAAGACGGTTTGGAACTCGATAAGAAAGAAGCCAAAAACCACTTAGTGAGAAGAGTGTTTATGTCCTTTGCAAGTTTTGCCCGAAGGACCAGAGGAAGTGAATATGGCTAGTGTAAAGTGACGACATAAAGTGCTTCAGTAGTTATATTTATTTTTCTCAAAGTACTGAAAGCGTAGCTTGGTTATTCGTTGAAAGTTGGTACATTAGACTATGAAGTACTTCTATATTCTAAAGGCCACCAATGCCACACCTATGAATCAAACAAAGTGTAGTACCAAACAGTGACCCAGTAGTTGGCAGTCAAGTTCATCAACTAGGGGACCACAACTCCATCTCCTTACTGTATATTGGCTGCTTACTCTAATGCTGGTATACGACTCCATAGCTAGTTGTCATTAGGAATACTGAAATGCATGAAATGAACAGAACTATCAAATATCATTTATGTTATCAACATCTGTCCAAGTCAGGCGAAGGATCCTAGGCAAGGCAGGCAAGTCGATTGACGAGGTTGTGAACCTTAGTCGACCGAGATGGTTTGAACATGTGCTAAACATAACCAGCCTTCATCGATATGCCATGCTAGGGGAAGTTGGAAGAGAGTTTAGGGTGGCCAGACCGAGGCCTGGCACCAGTCGATAAAGTCTCTCACTGTTGGTCTGAGTCATGTCGGGGAGTGTAGATTGACTGGTTGGGGTCCCCGAGAAGAAAGGAATCAGTGGTTAAGGAAATCGGTGACAATGATGCAGATGTATTCACTCCCCAACATCTTATAAACCTTGAACATTCACACAAGCCCTCATCTTCAGATTGTTTATTCTGTCACACTACCTTATCTACTTTGATATCACGCCTTTTCTATCCACCTGTTGTTTGTGCATTACTATGAAGTGTGGAAATTTCAGCCGGTGGACCCCTGTGTGAGGTTCCACGTTCATTTTGTTAGTCAGTCTGTCCACTAACCAAGCTAATGTTGTCCGATGATCTGTAAAGGCACTAATAAGAACGTCACTTAAGTATAGACATGCAGAATACGGCTGTTTTGAAAACAGGAAATAATTAGCATAAATTTCACATGATGCAAGTTAATCGACCTCTTCATACCCCCAATAAATTATTCACTTTTCTCTCAAAGTTTACAATGTGGAATAGTTCAGTGACCGAATATGAGTAAAACTTGCCTACTGTAGTAGGATATAGTTAGTTTCATATGAAATTTGTTCATTTGACCGAATGTCAGTCTATTCCCTACTAGCAAGCACTTTGATTGATGACTTTAAAGTGTATTCTAGTGTGACGGATGTTTTTCTAATGTACATGAAAAAATGATAGATAAACAAAATGATTATTTGACCCTTATTCTATGTTTTAAGTGAGATTTGGTTCGTCAGTTAAATGAACCGAAAAAATGAATGAAACTGGAAGTGTGAATTAAGTTTCCCTCACAAAACTCCACCAGTGAAACAGACTTTTGGAATGAAAGGATTGTAAAGAAATTTTATCCTACCTCTAGATTGCTTTTTAGGCTATTTTTTCTGGAATCTCAGTAAACAAACGAATACTTCAGTATTATGCAGTAAGATATAACAGAAGGATTCATGGTACAACTAAATGTCGTCCACTAGTTGAACATCTTTCTTTACTAATGCAACAAGTTTGAAAAAAAGTAGGATTGATGTCGATCTTAGTGGTTAGAAGAGGAATACAGGACACGTATTTGGTCCTATTTGGGACTTGTCAGCCGGGTGTATCTGCACCACAGTGAGTGATGTTGTTCCCATCGAGACTCGGACCCAGTACCCTTAACTTCAAACGCCACAGCCTCAGTGGGGAAAACATCACTCACTGGAGTGCAGGTATATCCAGCTGATGAATCCTAAATCTCAAGAAACGTGCATCCTGGATCCCACCACTAGTCATTATATATCATTAGAGATTTAGTGGTTCTGGTTTCTGATTAGCACGTAATTACATAAAGTTTGGTATTGAATTATAGAGAGGTTGATTCCTGCAGTCTTACTAACATCGTCTGACCATTAAACAACAACACCTTGAAAACGACTATCAAAACTATAAGGAATGAGTCTAGGTAGTATGGTAATGAAAACTGTTTGTCACAAAAATCTTTCACTCTTATATAACCCCATATGTATCTCAAAAATCTAAGCGTATGGTTAAAACCAATGTCTACACTTTAAACATTCTTTAGTAGGCCAACGTAATTCGATACAAAGTTAAAATGTCACCACAGCTTAAAAATATGAAATCACCAGTTTTTATGTATAACTGATAAAATTAACTCACCTTGTATATGTACACAATGGTCTCTAATAAGTAGTGCAAGTTGTAACTGACCTACAAAAATCGTTGAAAAACCAGTAAGGTTTAGGTGAACTAAACTAAAACTGTATTCATCGAATAGTTACCAATAGTTATAATTAATTATATTAATAATAATGATAAGTGAGAACTCCTTAATATATTCAAATAGAAAAGAGTTTTCATATGGTAATTGTTAATTCTGGAATTATTAGTTTACTTTATAATGAACGTTAAAGTAAGTATAGTCTCCAAATCCTGTTGAAATATTTTCACACAACCTGATATTTACAACCTCTGCTGAGAAAGTTCGATTTATCACCTTCAATAAGTGAGTGTTGTCACCGAAATGAAATTTTGAATATTGAGGTTGGTTTTAAAGTTAATTGCTCAAAGATACCCTTCAAAGACAATCATCTGCCTTGTTTCACTTACTGTGCGTAAATTTCCACTTCTTGATTTCTGTTTAAAACACATACTTGATGCGACATGGGTACCCAAAGGTGTGCAATAAAATGGTATAATGACACTGGGAAGATATAAAAGGAATACAAAAGTGAAACAGAAAAGGGCTGTTTAAGAAGCAGTCTTAAAGATATAGTCAAACAAGCAATCATTACTTTTGTTTAACTTCCGGATAATAGAAGAAACATACAAGCTGCAATATGATCACCACCGGTTTCGATTCTGAGCCGCATCTGCTATCATCTCAAGGTGATAAGTTGCGTGGTCCATTTGCTCCCGTTCAGCATACGCTAATCCAGCACAATTATCGTTCATTACGAGGCGCCACGTCATGAATTGACCACGTTTGCTTCTTCCGACCAGTTTAAGGACAAACAAACAATGAATGGTGTTGAAGTCACTGGAATGGCGTTTATAACAAAAGTCCAGGCCACAGAAGCCAGTACTTTACCTTGAGCGAATTATATGTCCATGTTATTTATCATTTTTAAAATCCCAGAGTCACACAGAAAATCATTTTTGAAAGCTTTAGTCACTGTCAGTCGCACTGAGTCATCAAACAGTTGCTTTCCAATGAAATACATGAACCACTTATAGTGAAACCGAACCCTCAGATGCTTTTTACAAACATCTTAGCTGTACTGCACATTCTGATCTAAAGAAATACCTTATATGGGATTTCTGTTTCTATTATTAGGCTGTAGGTTAGTAGTCTATTTCAGTTGAAAACTCATGGTATAAAGATACTCCATAAACTGTTCTGAGGGAATAATCAAAAGTGATTCGATACAAGCAATTGACGTGTTCGAGGATTAAGCTATTGGTAGTTCTTTTGAGTTCTTCCACAATAAACCAAGTTGGGAAATGGTATAAATTGCATTCACAGGTAAATCATAACTAATACATATTTGGGTATATATCAAAGTATTTTGGTAAATGTAGACTACTCGTAAGTATAGTTCTTATACTAACCAAATAAATGAAAATGTTTATGCAAGTGTCTGTCAAAGGTCTCTGAGATATTAACACTCTAAAACTTTAGAATTAAGGCAATACTTCCAGTGAATATGTTTTGTGTCGTAGGTTACAGCTGAAGTAATCCCATTACAGAGTTAGATTATCTGATTTCAGTTCATTAACCAGTCTATTAAACGACTTTGTTTGAAAGCTTTCATTCAGATTTCTTGCATTTTACTTTCTAGTTAAATACAACCATAAAACCCAAACAACCGATCTTATCGGCGACAATAAATATACGCTTGTCTCTGAAGGTTCTTGTTGATATGTAATGATTTTTTTCACTTAGATCTTCATTTATCAGTCATTCCTAGAGGATGATAAATTACAAAGTGGTGTAATCGCTCATACGTGTGATGACTTAGACATCATATTTCAGGGCCATTATAATAGTCACCAAACCCAGTTAAATCTTCATACTTCCTTGTAACTATCCAGTTGACTACTTAAAAGAAGACCAGCTTATAATACGCTGTCCTATTGAAAGAAATTAGTAATTTTAAATGCATAGTGAATTCTTTGCAGTGTAAGTGAGATAACTTGTACCATACATCATCACTTTAGTATGTATATTATTCACACTTAGTGAGTAAAATGTAGATAATTAACTTCAAAAGAGTAGCAAAAAACATTGTAGAAGAGTAATATAGATCCATTTTATGATTTCGGCTGTTGTCGTCAATAGCTTACAACCTGGGGTATTTACAGTAAGAAATCACAACAAAATATTACCATACTTTGGTTGAGTGAGATCAGAGAAGTTATTGCTTTTCGAGAAGTATCTCGAGGAAAACGGATGTTTGCAAAGCTTCATCAACAAATTCGGTCGAAGAACATGCAGTAAAATCGACAAAACAATCTGTAAGAAGCAGGTATTTATTCACTTCGACTTCGAAGGTGATGATACTGAGATTTTGGTAAATAGACGACTACGCACTGCATTGGCCAAGGCATTTCCAGGAGCAAAGTTAGTTCCCCTGTTTTAAATTTCTTGCCTACTGGTTTAGTCAAGAAACGACAGGTACCCCTCATATTTTGCCTCTAGTTGCATGTATCAATTCATATGCACCAGTCGGATTAGTTACAGTGAGAGAAAAAAAGAAGGATATATCTCCGACATTTTGAACATGTCTCAAAGAGCCTATGGTTGAAAGGAGCAAGTATTCTCAGTAGTTCCATTACTAAGCAGTTAATGGATACTGATTAATTTAATCGTGAGAATGATGTTTATCTCAATTAGTTGATATACATTTCTGTCCATAAATAAGTCTTCCTCCTTTTTGTTGTAGTCGTCTCTATACATGACTTCTGTGTTTCACTCTTTGTCGGCTGGAATTATAACGATATTCCTTTCATTCCTCAGTTTCTTAAGATCTCTCTATTCTTCATTGGTTAGATTAGTACAGTTCTGCTTCCGCCTAGTTAGAGGTAGGATTACTCGTCATATTTCCCGTCGGATCTCAGAGTTCAGTCTTAAATTCTCCGGTGAAGACTCTAGGGATGAGAAGAATTCTGGTCCTGAAACGTCTCCAGTATTGTAATTTAGTTCATTCTCAAGGAGAAGTTCCTCGAATTTGGTGAGAGGTTGTTTGGACAAGTTGACTACACAATCACTTCCTTCTTCCCCTCTGATGCTTGTGCTTTTGAAATCTTGTCAAGCTTCTTTCAGAAAATATTTCTTCTCTTTTCTTTGTATCATCTGTTTGGTTTTTCCACCCAAGTTACCAACATCGTAAAGTTTTCTGTTGTGAGCATCCCCTATAACTTTCTCTTCTGTCTGTCTATCGTCTGTTGATATTTCCGAATCCTATGATGAAAATAGGTGGAAACCAGTCGTACCATGTGTCTTCCATTCCTTTCCATTAACTTCCAGCTAACTGGATAGTCGATAGGCGGTCCATACCTGACATTAGTTGGCAGAACATCTTGGGCCAGACGCTCGTGGAGAAAAAACAGTTATTCTCTTGTAGAGACCTTTCTCTTGGAGATGTTCTCCATTTCTGAACAATAAGAAGCGTTTGACGTTTGTAGGATTTTGAGATGATGGAGAATATTTGGAGCTCAGAAAGATGATTTCAATGAAGCTATGTTCCCTGAACTCGTTTAAAGTAACAAATCTATTTTTATCTGTTAATACTTACGGTATCCGCTTGTCATTGTCATAGAAATCAAATCTTCAAACAAGATACAATATTGAGAATGAAATTTTCATGACCAGAAGTTCATAAAGCCTGTTTGTATATTCTAATACAAATGATTATGCACGACCGTGATCTGATAACATTAGTTTTTAGGAAGTTAGTATTGACTGACTGACAAAATGAAGATGAAACTTCGCACAGAAGCACATTGGCTCAAGTCCCCACAATTCATAGTAGTACACAAACAACAGGTGGATTGAAGAGAACTGATACCAAACAAGATAAAACTATGTAAGAGAATAAATCATCTGAAGATAAAGGTTAGTGAGAATGTTCAAGGTTTAGAAGACATTACACAGTGAATACATTTGCGTCATTCTCACCGATTTCCAATCATACATGTCACCAAGAGTCTTAAATCACTGATTTCTTTCGTCTCCGGGACCTCAACCAGATAGTATGCATCGCCCCACACAACTCAAATGCTTAGGAAGAGACTGGATCGACTGGTGTGATATTTTGATCTGATCACCCTGACCCCTCTTCCAACTTAATCCAACTTCCAGTAGCATAGCTCACCAAGGAAGGCTGTGGCGTGGCATGAGCAGTACATATTTTAGCCATCTCAGTGAACTACCTTGTCAATCGACTTGTCTGTCTTGCCTGATACTATTCGTCCGACCTCAAAATAGTTAGTACTAGATGATAATGAGTGAGTTTATTTTTCATGTTACTTTTCATAAATGAAAATGCTTGACTGCAGGCTTTCTGATCCTTCGCTCATGTGTCCTGAATGGATGTTTTTGTTAATCAGCATGAAATTTTTAGCTTTCAATTTCAGTTATGTAGGTACTGTGACAATCAGTAACCAGTTAGACATATACCACTGCTGTCCAAAGTACATGAAGCATCTATCAAAGTCATATTTATCTCCCACCAGTCTCATTGTCTCAAATAAAGTTTGTTTAAGAACATAATGCAAACGCAATATAGCTTTAGGCTGACACCACTGATATCATTGAAGGTGTATTACGCATATGCCAACCAATGAAGCTTAAATATGCAACGAGAAATTTGTGGATTCAAGTTCATTGGCTTAAAGTAATCAACTTTCAAACAATAGATAACTTGTTTGAACCCCGCTGTATCTATTTCCGCTCAGACGACTGGGTAGTACTGCAAGGCATAACATAAGTAACTCATAGCGTAATTCATAAAAGTGTCCGCGATCGCGATGAACTAAATTAAATTACTTGAGGAAATATTCAGATAAAATTGTCGAAATAAGAAAGGCTGAATTGATAGGTGGGCTATAACTATAGAGTAAAGACATACAACATAGGATGCAGAGTATTTGCTAGTGCTGCTTGGCTGGTAGTCATAGACGTTACCACTGAGCTGTTCGGGCCATAG